TAATAATAAATTTATCAATAATCAAGGAATTTCCAACCCAATTAATTTCAACTTTAATATTTCCAATTAAAATACCAGGTATGTAGCTAATTTTTCCAGTATGAAACGGAAATACATTCACAAATAATGGCATTTTGACGCTAATTTTCACATTCCAAGGACCCCAGACCCATTCAATTAACCTGGGAAAATACAGTGACTTATCTTCATCAATATAACAAGACTAGTTTTAACTTGAGAGAGCCATGATGGGCCTATATTGCTCACCTGAGATTTATAGAAATGGTCCTGATTCATCAATACAGAATTAGGTTATTGGGTCACATTGACCTCAAGAACATGATTTACTCAACTTTTAAAGTTGCATGCCTCCAGATTAGCCAAAATATTTAAATAATTTCTACCTTGAAAATCATTTACTAAGATTTTAAGGAAAAACAATATTCACAATTTAAGAAATATTCATGATTTAAGAAACAATTTACATGTTATATGCAATTAATGAATGGCTGCAGTATTTTTCACGATATTTCTACTGCATGACTAACACAGTAAGGGATATTTTGCATATTCTGGTCTAATTAATAAACTCCCCTTTCCAAAATTTTGATAATTGACTTGCTTAATTGACTTGCATTGATTTGATCGCATGAGGATATCAAGACTTAGAGGCACTGCACAGTTTGTTTAGTGACAGTATATACTTGTAAAATCCATGAGAGATCCAGATAATCCTTTTCTTACATGTATATACCTCCTTTAAATTATAATATAATGGTATCACATCAGCAACTTCATGACCTGATGATAGATCTGACTTGTATATACCGTAATACCAATTTTCCTTCTGTCCTGACATATTAATGGACAAGATAATGCATTAAAATATGTACATGTTTATTAGTATTATAAATCAAATAATTTGACAAATTTCTAACAAAGCTTCTAAATAATGCATGTACAGTACAGAACCAATTTGCAGATAAATCATTTAATTCAAGAAGCACATGCAAGATTTACCTTTCATCTTTGTTGGCATTTCAGTACTTGGATTAAATCCAGACAGAGTTTTTATCATATCTAATCTTTATTAATATAAAACCTGTTTGCATATAACTGTTTAAATTTTACACTTCATAGACAACAATGCTGTAAATTATGATGTTTGTCTCATGTCAAGGTTTTTCTGTTGTTTTTTTTTCAGTTTTCCAAACTTATATAAAATCCCAAGATATCATGTCTTTCCTAGAAAACTAACATCAGCGGTTTATACATACTCACTACATAGTAGTAAATAAACAAGTGCTAAATGATTGGTTGATGACATGGTTGTTTACGGTAGTTTTCATTCATAAATTAATGACTCACCACACAGCAACATCCTGATTGGTTATTTAGATTAAACTTGAAACCCCCTTTGCAGCCAGATACCCTATATTTTAAATATGTAGCAGACAGGAAAATTGATTAAATCAGGTCAAACACATTTTAAAGGGAAGCCAGTGATAGACTAATTATAAAACTTCTTAAGATAGTGCAGCAAATAAAACTAGACAGGTGATTTACATTCTTATTTATATAATGCTCTAAAGCTGTATACCTGCAGATGAGTGTAGAAAATTTAAAAGTCAATAAAGTGATCAAGACATGAATGTATATATTTTTGTGTGGAACATCACCATATTCCTATCCCTTACTAATGGGGTAGAGGCTTATTATTAGAGGCAACAAAATCAATTGTCTCACTCTGTATTGCCTAGGTTGTACCGACAAGTATAAGTTTATAAAAATTACTTTATAAATATCAATCAGAATTTGCCGGCTCTGCTAATGATATAATTTGCAAATTTTGACACTTTCTATGTAATTTATATGGAAGAGCTTTAAACTAGCTTAAATTACATTTATTTGTCCATTAAACTACTTAAAGCACCTTTGATTTTCATAAAAATAAGCATGAGTGCATACATTTAAGCAGGCATCTTGCTTAGGAATTTGATATCATTTTTGAGTGTGTGATTGAATAATCAATGGTTCCTGTTTAAATGTGCAATAATATAATCACAAAGGCCAGCTGGCCTGAGAGACTTGTTTAAAAACATAAAAGATAAATAATGTGTTATTGTACAACTACTTACATAAAAATTGGTATCTATTTCTGGCAGTGAAGACATCATATATTTTGGTTTATTGATGTCACATTGGATGCCACATTGTGTGCTGTTCTGACATGCATACAACATAAAAATTAATGCACTCTACTCTAGTCTGTAATCATATTGTGAGGGTGTTACAAGTTTTTGTAAAATTCAGAAAAACTTACATAAAAAGTATTATGTTTTGTGAATGATCAATAAGACCATAAAAAAGATACTAAATGAACAGTCAACATTTTGAACAAAAACAGTTCACCTTTCTTTGAAAAAAAAAACAAACAATTAATCAGAATCTACAACTTATAATTAAACAAAATCAACACCTGATTTAAACCTGATTTATATGCTGCATTTGATGCATTGAAAATGTTTGCTGATCAACCAAAACTCAACAAGCTACCTCTGCCTTCTGGTGCAATCAGCAAATTATTGCAATCAACAAAATATTGGGGAAAAAACTCTCACTCTGATTGGCTAGTCTAATAGTAAAAATCATAATTGTTGGTTGACAAGCATGAAGCATCCACTTTACAGATCACACTTGCAGCTGATACTGAGCATCTATGATGCAATAAAATCCTGATATTTGGAAATAGATTAAGATTGTCATTAAACTGTTAAATTTTCAAGCATTTTACAAATTTCAATGCAATTCCAGTAATTTTGAGAGTAAAAATCTAGAAAATCAGCCCCAAGATGGAAGAATGATCACTGGTGTCTAAAAGGAAGATTGTTAATGGTTTTATCTTTTTAAGCCTATTTTTAGCTCCTGTGACTTGCTCATATATAAATGCATTAGTCTAAAAACATCTCTCCCCCTCTGTATGTGCATGTCATTGAGAAGGCACAGGGCATCAGCAGATAATTGAAGATCCACTGCAATGTGTAAGACGGCAAGTTTGCATGACTCTCTACTGCTCAGGGTAATGTTTAAGGTGGCACAATTTATAATGTATGAAGTAAGCTGTCAATGTTCAGACTAAAACTGAGGAGAGACTGGCCCTTAAATATGGCAAGGACAACAAGAAGTGTGCTTGAGTGTGAGAGCCCTTGCTGACATGAGAGCCCCTTTCAGGGCTACCTCCTTTTCAGATTGTCTTAGGTTTATGTACATTCAGGTTTTCATTGGCAGCATATAGTTACATACTTTTGGCTAAAAATTCATATCTTTGGCTTATACTTCATGCTCGGACTAATAATGTGTATCTTTCTGTCCCAGCTTCATGGAAATTACATAATGGTAAACTCTACTTTGTGCTTTAAAATTAATTACCACATGACATATCCAGAGTCTGTATTGCACAGCAAAAGCTGCTTTTTGTGCCTAAATGGGAGGGTGGACCCTCAATAAGCATAGAATAATTTATTAGATTATATTACCTTAGAATAAATATAGGAAATTTGTTCAAAAACTATTATGTGGTTCAGGAAATGTTGTTTGATAATGTTACAACATAATGTGTAAATTATACTTTCATGATTTATTTGACTTGTTATCACTTTGCACTTTTGTGAGCTGGAAAAAGTTAAAACATTAGAATTTAATAAAATGATTCCCCCCCCCCCCCCCAATTTTCATAACAACCTGTGGCTTTCTGAAGGGGAAAAATATAGCACAATGAATTTATCAGAAAAGGGGAAAAACCTGAAATCAAATTCCAACAACTGAGAATGGAATTTACCCCTGCATTTTATAAAATGTTCATTTCCAATTCATTTTAACATTCATTCAATGTAAATATTGCAGCTCTAGGCTATATGTAGGTACAGCTTTCTGTCTTTCAGTCAATTAAATGTATCAGTCAGCTGCTGTTAAGTAATGGTTCTGGTGAAGAATGTGCATAGGGCATTTCAGGATTTTGGGCTAGGGGAAACAGCCTTTCTTCGGCTGTAAAATATAGGTATTAAAAATCACTTTAATTAGACTTTGAGATTAATTTAATAACAACAAAAAATACCTATATTTTAGCACCACTTGATTTTACTGAATCTGATTCAGTTTTGGGTTTACTTTAATAAAAGAAAATGCCAGTGTTAAATGTAATGACTGAAAAATGAAGACATTGCAGTACTTACTTATTAAATTAGAGATTATCATTTAGCAAATTGCAATATTCTAGCATAAATTTCGAATATATACATATATAAAGACTCAGGAGGACTGTCATTTTATTAAACTGGCTGCTATTATGCTATTAAAATTAAAGTTATATGGGTGCATAATATGTCATCATATCTGGCTATATATACTGCATCATGTTCTTAACAAGTATTTTGTGTCTCAACACAGGTGGACGGCTGTGTATATATTACAAGAAATCATGAAATGTAATGTTAAATAAACAATATGGATAAGGCAAAGAAAGCATGTTCACTTTTGCATTTTACTTGACGCTGTCATTGTTCCTGCATTAGCAAAACAAAAACTAGCCCAAGTTACAGGTAAATTTTCAAATTCCAAGAATTAGTATTCTATATATAAACTGAAAAGAGATTTACTTCCATCATACTTCATGCATGCAATCTCTATACTGATAAATAACAATTAACTTTTAATATTGGGAATAATTCAACTCTGCACAAAAACACATAGCAGAAGAAATAAAGCAATTTGAACATTCAAATCATGAGTGATTACATAGTGAAAATCGGTGATATCTCCACAACCAGTTGCAGAATGCAACGGAAGTGAATGTTTGGTTTGCAATTTAGCATGCTTTACATTTGAATTTGCAAATATGCGTAACCCAACAGCTACATCTGTCTACATATAATCGAATTAAGCTAACAATGCATGCAATTGAAATCTAGTTAAGGAGAAAAATGCAACAAATTGCCACTAACCTTGACCCGACATCTTTCAGTCTACCATTCAGTTATTTATCGAACAGGTGCCCGTCCAATCAAAAATCTTCCTCGTGTCTACGTTTTCTTTGTGCGAAATTCCCTCAGTTGTACTTGTTGAGTGAATGTTTTGTACAAAAAGTAATGATTTGAAAAGAAAGTTAGAATTAAATTAAAACCTTAACAACTCGTCTATTTCGCAATATTTATTTGTAAATATCCTTTCAATATCGCAATATCCCTCAATGACAGGAAACGCCAATTTACACGTGAAAACGTGACCAGGGAAAGCCCAGTGACGTCATCAACTGACTCATGCAGGGTATGCCTTGAAACAGCTACTTTTCAAACATTCTAGACACTTTCTTGATGAATGCAATATCTTTTCCACTTGTAAAACCTTTTCATCCGTCAAAAATACAACGCTTTTTCAATATGTCCGTTTTGCAAACAAAATCTTCAACTTTTAGTAAATATTTAGCAAGTAGCAGGGTAACAGACTGTCTCCTGCTTCGTTATGCATTAAAAGTAGCGAATGGAATAGAAAGAAACGAACAATTTAAAAAAAGTACAAAATGTTAGAAGTTGTATACAACTAAGGCAGCCACACTTACAAGACTATTTCTGTAAAATATTGAAAAGAGCATTATTTGTAAAGATATTACCGAATTTACATTGCTTGTCAATAAAGGGAAGTAATTAGAAATGTATTTTCGATAAAATCTGAGTAAGAATGAATGCATAGATTTTATCCCGAAACAACCAATTTTCAATCACAACCTAATTTCGATTTCAAACACATTCTAAATTCTGGAGCGCTGATGTCATGTCTGACTAAATTGCATAAAGTCACACGTTGTATTAACTTCAACACTTGCAGAAATGCCATACTTGATTAGTTGTCAGATGTTATCATAAAGAATAAGTCACTTGACACATTAAATTTTTTTAAAGTAGAGGCCTATTGGCTACAGAGTTTTACCAGTCACCTCAGTCTTAGGTGTATTTAAAACATTTATTTATATGATGTACCACTTAGTATTCATCAGAATTTACATAGGGGTCCTTAAATTAATAAAATCTTAAATTGTTATCATTTTTTTCATGTGTTAATTGTTAAATAAATTGTTTGTGACCAATACCAGCTGGCGGATCTAAACAAGTTTCCGTATTTGCTAATATCATAAAGTGTGGAATGTAAAATTGCTGTAAAGATTGGTTGCATTTATCATTTTGCACCCCAAATAGCGTATTAAGAAGTGACACCTTTAACTGCCCTTTTTATGCACATTAACAGTAGTCATACCAATGCACTGTACTGTACATTTGTTATAACATTTAGTGAAAGTTTTTTTTTAAATCTTGAAAAAAAAAACTGTTGAAAATCGTTGAATAGACTGTTGTGAAATTTTCTACAATTTTTAGTAGCCCTGACATATCTTGAACAAATTCTTCAGTGGTGATTACCCTGCTGTTTGAATTTAGGTTAAAATATTCCTGGGAGTGACCCGAGTGGGTCATATTGTTTTTATTGTTTTTCTAAGAAAGATCAAGACATGTTGAAAATGTACCAACCTTAAAATGAATAAATGTTGATAGATGCATTAATAGCTAAAAAAAATTAAAGCATAATTTCCCCTTCCATTTATTATTGGCTAAAACAGCTTAACTGATTGAATGTTGGTTGTTCCGGGATACTGATTACATTTCATATTTAACATATTCTTGGATGTTTGGAAAACGTTTTAGAAGTATAATTATAAAAGTGTTGTTACATCCTTTATTACAACATACAGGATCTTAAAGTTTTCTTTTTTACATGAGTTTGACATGGGACCAAAAATATTTGACCCTAGGTTTAACATGAAATGACATAACTTTTCATAAGACAATTTTATTCTAGATAAACATTAAAGTTCATTGTGAAAAGATTAACGACATAAATTAATCGTTTATTTAGTTTACGCTTACCTCAGAAAAGAAAGAAGGACTTAAATGTAATTTAGATGACTGATTAGTCACCCGGATGTAATTTACAATATTCAATATGTCCTTTAGTTATTTGAGCAAGATTTCTTCACATAAGATATGACAGAAAAAACCAACAATGTAGATCTACATTCACTTAAGGCAGTCCCAATGTCTCGTCACAAAAGTATGTAGTTCCGTACTTGTAAATAAACCGTGGAATGTCCCTGCATTCATGTACCATCGATTGTTCAGCACAGGTTCACACGAGCATATATTCAACTCGTCTCACAAATGTCATCTAAAATGAATACAAATTGTTGCATGTTAAAAATATTTGTTTTTATGTTCATGCTGCGTTGCCCACTATTATATCTGTGATATGTATTGACGTCCTCCGTTATTTTTGTAACATGTATCACCATTATAGGAAATATTTCCTCCCCGTACGTCTATTGTTACCCCCTCCCTAATATAACCACCACCTCCCCCATTAATGTTTTCGTTACTCTTAATAAAACTTAAGGTTTCTTTTGCTGTACAAAGTCTTATTAGCCCCTCCTCCAACCGTTTGTTTTCCGTTGTCCGTTTGCTGACCTTTCGGATGCCGTTGCTGCACGGTATTGTGGTACATGTGTTCCATGAATGTAGCTCTCTCTCTTTCTTGTTAATCTTCAATCTAAAATACTTGCTAAAGTTCAGGTCTTCTCCGACAAATGTTAATTCCATAACTTCTAACATTTTTAAAAATAGATTTTATAAATATGAAATATGTTCTAATATTTTCTTTATGTGTGCTTAGATGTTTTAAAGGGATTCCACTGAGGTTTCTTGATATGACGGGACTAGTTATATTTGTTCGAGATTATTGTTCCATTTGTTGAAAGTCTAGATCAATAACTTATGTCCAACATTTCTGATTCATCTTCTTCTTCCAGTATAAGAGCCGGGATCCAAAAGGAACGTAATGAGGCTCTGCGTAACTATGTACATGGTGAGATGGAACACTCTTCCTCTCAGCGATAAAAGTTGTAAAAACTGATAAAAATTTATTTACAGAGACGTTGTGAAGTGAATTTAGATGGAGGCCGGCAGGCGCACGCGGAAAGCATCCAGCGTTTCCGCGGCGGTGACTGTTGATGCCAGGCCATTCCAGTCAACAATTGTCCTTGGGAAAAAGGTATTTGTATACATCCTGCCAGTGGTGCGTTCTTGGTAGAAACGTATACGTGTTCTACTGTCACTGGTGTTCTTATTGGATTGGTTACTCAGTGGTAGGTACTTGTCCTTGGGGATGTCTACTAGGTCATGTTGAATGCGGTAGAGCATGCCTAACCTTGCTTCCTTCCTTCTCTGTTGTAGGGTGTTCCAATCCAGGCTCCTCAGCATTTCTGTCATACATCCAGGTGTTCTGGGTTTATAGTCATTTTTGACAAACCTGGCTGCACTTTTCTGGATCTGCTCAAGTGAATCTATGTGCGTCTGAAGATGAGGATCCCAAACCGTTGCTGCATATTCAAGACCTGGGCGTACAAAAGTGCAGTAACTTGCTGCTTTCAGTTGTGGTGTACAATCCTTTAAGTTTCTCCTCACAAATCCCAGTGTTCTGTTTCCTTTGGCAGCTACATTCTGTATGTGCTTGTCCCATGAGAGGTTGTTGGAGACACTTACACCAAGGTATTTGCTGTGGTCCACTGATTGCAGGACTTGGCCATGAAGTATATAAAAACATTATGTTGCAACGGTTTTCGCTCAGATCGGACTAAGAATAAAACTCAATTCATTTATGATTATAGTTACTATAATAATCGTTTGCATGTCTTGCTGTTTTAAGTTCTCCCGCTTATTTATGTAAGAATTCAAATTTATGTTTCTTAAGTATATTTGCAATGTGTTTCTGTCGAACATACGTTCAGCGATCTTATTTTATTAGTTGTTGCGTTGACTGACATAACTAATCTGGTCTAAAGTCCTTAAAAAAGAAATTTAAAGTATTGATATGACCTTCACAAAAAAGCTTGATATAAAAGATAAAATTTCCTTACATGGCTGTAGGCAGTCACTTTAAACTAATGCAATATTATTTTTATGTAGAAGGGTTACTTGTACTATTTTAAAACAATCAGGAAATGCTACTGTAGGAAAGGGCTAACTATAATTATGCTTATTTTAGGAATTTAGCTTGTTATTAATTGTAAGTTTGGTTAGAATTAACGATTTGCTGGAAATGCCACACTTTCATTATATTTTAGTTAACAAATCTTACCTTATGCTGATTACCAAATGATTACATTTTGTAAACATACACAATTGTTAGGCTTCAATTCATACACGTTGCTTAATTTTCCATATTTTGATATGTTTCAGAATTTATTTATTCTCTTTCACTTAATACTAACTCGCCGTTCATTGAAAAGGCTCAATCATAACGAGTCTGCAACATTTTCAATAAATGTCCCATAAATGATCCAAGACATGGTCCGAAATGTCAATATTTGGTCCAAAATATCCCCAAGTCTGCTCAGAAATATATGAAAATCCGGTCCGAGAATAAAATAAAAATACTAGAACAGAACAGAATAAATTTTATTTCAAATCACGGGCCTAAGTGAATAGAGGAAACAGAGTAATACAAAACTATGGAACGAGAACAAGCAAATGATTCTTTACCAAACACTATTATGTTTCTTGCTGATCAAAAGTTCTAAGTTACAAGCTGTTAACAAAGAAATTGCATATGATTTACGTGATTACTTATAAGTACTAACTTATTAATTAGAAATGTGAATATATGTAAAAGCTTATGGATAATGGTCTAAAATGTCCCTGGTTATAAATTATATACTTTTTATGGCCACCTACAAAAGCACAGCTGAAATCGTTACTATACTGTTTGGTTGATATGTTGACATCACTGACACTAATATTTCTTCTAATTATTTAAAATCATGTGTTATTTAAAAAAAAACGGAAAAAAATCAATTAACAATCTTCTGTATATTTATGAAATCTTTTAGAAAGTTTTTTTCCTACTTTTTCAGTAATATAATGTTCATTTCGTGATTTTAGCATTATTTGCAAAACACATGAAGAAATGAAGAGCAGTCAATATTTATCACGTGACAATTGATAGTATACCGGATACTAGGAATTAGGCCAAGTCTTAATTGTTAATTAGTCTTTTGTTTATCACTATACATAAATGAACGTTTTAATTATAAATGACTACACGTAATAGAGGAGTTAAACAATTTGATAATGTCTAATAACAAAGACTACCATGTTGACTGGGTTGCTTACTTTCTTCACCAATTTCCACACATAAACTTTCAGTTCGAACAAGCAAACTCTACATTCGACCCAGTTTCTGAAGATTACAGGAACGTAAGTAAAAGTTAAACATTTATAAGATTATTCGCCAGCTGATCATTAAAGGACACTGGGCAGAAAATGCGTTTTGAAGAAGTAGTAGATAATATGAAATATATATTAATAATAGGACAGATTATCTATTTATAGGCAAACGAATTACAGTCAAATCGGCCCCAAGTCAAATCGGCCCCAAGTCAGATCGGCCCCAAAATAGTCAAATCGGCCCCAAGCGAAATCGGCCTCAAGTCAGATCGGCCCCATTTTTTTTTCCTTAATTCATTGTTCATTTTCTTATTTAAATGTTGATAAAAAAATTGTGTGGATTGGAATATCATTCAAATGACTAACAATGGATTACATAGAAAACCAGAACAAAACATAATAATCAATATAATTTACTGTCTGAGTATAACATTTATCTTCACTGTACTAAACTATTTATTGTCTATAAACATATGAACAGTATGTAAATGTCACTTTTCATGTAATTGTCACTTCACTTCTTATCACTGCATGAACATTATTCGCGCATCACTCTGCTTCTTGTCTAAGCACCCTGGGTTGATACAGACTGGAAACCTTCTTCAGCAGGGCCGTTGCCGACAGTTGTTTCGCACGATAGCTGCAAGCAGAAAAATTAAGTGAAAGTATTAAGGAGCCAACAATTGTAATATAAATGTATATACATTTGAATGATATTATACATATTTGAAATTGACATTAATTATATCTATATTGTATCACACACTTTTTTCATCATCAATTATCAGTTTGTGATCATTATACTAGCGCCTCTGTTCTAATATATTACTAATGAAATGCAACTTGACATCGAAAGAAATGGTCGTTTTGTCACTTTAGTATAAGACACAAATAAATCATATTTACCTGTCCCAAGCTTGAAATATCTGCGACTGCATCGATCTGTAAGTCTTTCTTTGCATTCGTCGCAGCTTCATCTCAGACACCAGTCGCACTTGCGATTCCACGAATCTTGCTTCTTTGTATAATAGCTTAATCAAATTGTAAAAAGGCGGCGACACTCCAGCTCTGATATTCAGACGACGATGCCATCCTGCAAATATACAAAATAATAAATAATGTTTATGGCTGAGTTATAAATTTTAAAAACTACATACATACCTCTATATATTTAAATGGAATAAAATGTTATAACAAAATATTTAGCTGCTACATTTATTAATAAAATCCTGGGCATCGGTCGAATGTTCTAATGTCGAATGTTCAAATGTCGATAACATTTACAATTTTACTAAAATTTATATACATTGTATCATTATACATTGCAATATTAAATTTACCTTCGCAATCGTTGTTTGTTCGGACGGACTGTCCAAATACGCTCCAGTTTTCGACAGTCCACGTTGAGGATTCGAACCACGTTCTTCTAAGGTACTGGAACAATGGTTCAAGATGTTCAGATGTGTTGAAATCTTCCATCTTGTCGAACACTTCGATGATATGTTCAGCGGGTAGAAAAGGCAGACAGAATATCATGCGCAGAAGAGAGTACGTCCCGTGGTTATTCATGTATTCCGTGGACAACCCAAGTCCCTAAAATATAAACAAATGATTTGAACATGTATTACAAGGTGTATTTTTAAAACAATATTTTTTCTCTTCGTTTGGATGAGATACATGAATGGATAATTATCGGAGGTAGAATGAAAAGTCACAAACAACTTAATGAAATATAAACGTTTTAGAAAAAAATGGTAAACTTCTAAATCTCTCAAAAACATATACAAATATAGTGGAATAAATAAGAACGAAAAAAATCTATACCTGTATATGACGCCAAACAGCCTGGCCCCAATGGAATGAACAACCCTTCATGAGTACGGTCGGGAAAACCCGCCTCATGGCTTTCCAGATGGCCTTTTCGAAGTCACAGACTACCTCTTCAACCTCTTGTTGATTTCTTAAACCTCGTTTGATGGCCTAAAAATTGTAATACATGTATATATACATATATAAATAACAGAAAGAAAAAAAGTAACAGTAAAACACGCCTAAAACAGCAAAGTTGTAAAATTTACTGATTGCATAATTTTATTTTATTTAGTTTTTCACAGAAAATCTTCCAAAAGCTAAATTTGATTTCAAACTGTTTTTACTTACTTTTAATACGTGCTCATAATCCGCACTTGTCCTTCCTGTCATAGCTACGAACACCAGCGGAACCTGCTTCGAACAATCGCCCCTACGCACAAATGCATGTATCGTCAAAAGCATGATGAACGGAGCACACATCACCTAAAACCGATTTGACTTGGGGCCGATCTGACTTGGGGCCGATTTGACTAGCTTGCTAGGCAAACAGGACGTTTCGGCCCCAAACCAAATCGGCCCCAGTCAAAAAATCGGCCCCTGGACGTTTCGGCCCTTTTCCGCGAGACGTTTCGGCCCCACTATAGTGTATTGCTTGATTAATCAACAACAATAAATTGAATTACAATTAAACATTTATGAAACTTTCTTTGAATAATTATTTATTATCTTTTGATCTCTTGAACGATTTAGATATACGTTAATGTTTTTAAAGGTGTAACAAACAATAAAGGCCGGTTTACTTACTTATAAAACAAACCACTAAATTTTCTGGATTAAGAAAGTTTCTTACAACTTTTCCTTAGAAAACATTCTCTTTTGATCTTAATTAAACTATACGTAAGTGTAACTAATTAACTGTTTATACTTTATGCTAATTGGCGGTATTGTTTTGTGTCTTGCTTCTTAATCATTCAAATAAAATATTATCAATATATGGTTAATAATTGTTTGTTTGTGTAATTATATTTTTTCAAATAAAGTTTATGTTCTGTTCTGTTTGTATTGATTACTTTCCCCCTACTACTATAATAATCTAGTTTTTATACAAAATGATTAAATATATATATATAAATTATTTTTTTTTATTGAAATGCTATTAATATATAGGTTTAAAATACAGTACATATTCTGGGGCCGATTTGGTAAAGGGCCGAAACGTCCGGGGCCGAAACGTCTTGGGTAGTTTGGGGCCGATACGTCTTGGGGCCGAAATGTCTCGAAATCATTCATAGCACCAACAACTTAAAGTAATAGTGACAATTTGACCATATTAGGGAAGAGTTGACTCGTTGAGGACGAGCTGACCAAAAGTGGGGGTTGATCAAATAGGTGATGTTTTGGGTTTTGACGATGCCCAGGACGAATTGACGTGATCGCATGATAAACAAAGTCTTTGTTTATCATGCGATCACGTCAATTCGTCCTGGGCATCGTCAAAACCCAAAACGTCACCTATTTGATCAACCCCCACTTTTGGTCAGCTCGTCCTCAACGAGTCAACTCTTCCCTAATATGGTCAAATTGTCACTATTATGTCATAAATAATTGTCTTTAAATAATGTAATTGTTATGTAAGATAGCTCAGTTGGTTTGACCACTGGCTGTCACTCCTGAGGATCCGGGTTCCGTTGTGGGTAACACCCTTGCAATTTTTTAGAGACACTATCAATGTTTCACACCTAACAAGAGGTGTGCTGGTAAGAAATCCATGTAATCCTTGCATGTATCAGACTCAGTGCTATACACTGGGCATGTAAAATAACCAAGAGATCTTTTCAATAAGCGCAAGGGACTGGTTCTGGATTCCCTTGTATCTCATAGCTGTCTCTATGTCATAGCTGTCTCTGAAGTGACTAGTCTAGAGGCACATTTTTTTCACATGTTAGGTGTTTGTAACTTGCAAGTTGATAAAATAACCAAGTTGTCACATACTGCATATAATTATGAAAATATATACAGAATAGAACCAAATCAGGTGTTGTTATATCAGAACCCAGGTCTACTGAATCATTGCTGGCTGGGGCCAGTTAGGTCCAATTCTTATTATTAGGGCTGGAGCCCACCTGGTCACATAAAGATAAACCTCAACTTCAGTATAAATTACTATAATATATAATTATATATAATGATATAGGTATTAGGTATATCATAGCACACCAAAAGGTAACAAATGTATCATATGCAAATAAGCTCATGTTAGGACTCTGAATCTGTGTCTTCTATCGAATGTAAATAAAATTTTCATTTAAAGTTGTATGATTTAAACATGCATTTGACTTTGTTATAAACTTTTTTCAGGGAGTGATATTCTTGGCAGCTTTACCCATTGTTTGTTTAGTGGTATTCCTGTTGTTGATATCATGCTGTTTGTGCATCAACTGTTGCTGTCGACAGAGACCCACAAAGAAAAAGAGCACAACTTGTGTTCGCTTCATTACAGCCTTATTCATCATCTTTGCAATGTAAGTTAAAACATGAATTTAACACTGACACATTAAAAGATATTTCAAATGTTCAGACAAACAATACATGTATTGTCAATATATGAAAGGCACACTATGCCTCAGAAATCCATATTTTTTAAATTCTTTAGAAATGTCAAAGATGTGTTTAATAATGTTTGAATAATGGATTAAGTGCATGTCCATTGTTTCACAACTGAAAAAAAAAGTAGCAGTTTAAGGTAGGAAAATGTAAACAAACTAGTATATTAACCTCCATACAAAATACTAATTCACTATGATTATATGGTATACCAGTTTCCAACATACCAAAGATAGTTCATGTATAGCAAATGAGTTTTTGGAAACTGTTACAATATAAAAATGAACAGTTTTTGAGAAGTAAAAATGATAGCATTTCTGAGGTATAATTGGCCTTTAAATCTGTTTGGTGCCATAAAATTATAATCTGCATTTGTATATTAAATAGACATATCAATAAAACTAAAATCATTAGTTTTGTAAGAAAATAATAAAATAATGATGATATGTCATAATGTGCAACTTGAAACATAATTTACAAATATATATTTTTGCAGAGGTAGTGTAGCAGTAGGGTACTTTGGGAATGAAGAAGGAAACAAAGGGGTACAGTCTACTGTTGATGCCTTACAAGATGCCAATGATACCTTGTCTGGTTCTCTTGCCACGGTTTGTTTCTTTATTTTATCTATGATATAAACAGTACTTTATTGGCCATGTCAAAATATGTATTAGTAGACATTACACTAATTTAATAGGAAAACTTTAGAAAAGGAAAGCTACCTTGTGAGAGGTGGATAGTTTTACACATGTGCCCAATTACGGCTGAAATAATAAACAGATAGGAAGCTTTGGTCTTCTTCCTCTGCTATTAGGACTTAAAATGTTTCTATTGATTATTGTACTGTATTTATTTTTTATGGCCAATTAAAAAGCTTGAGGGTTGGTCAGTCCTTCCTTACATACATACATGCATATGTGTCCTGTCATACCTGTCCGGTCAATAATTTGAGAAGGAATAAGCTATGGTTTATGCAGCTTTGTATAGACATTGCATGTAATCAGGAGATAATCTTGATTGGTTTTAAGGTCATCAGGTCTAAGGTCAAGGTTGCAGCAAACCTTTTTGTAAAATGCTTTTGAGAAAGTATAAACCTTTCCTGATCAAAATCTTGAAAAGGAATAAACCTTAGTTTGTAAAATTTGTACATGGCCATAACATGACCCCAAATAAGATTGAGGTCATTAGATGAAAGGTCAAGGTCACAGTAACAATTTTTGTAAAATCTTTGTCCATGTAATCACTTAGAAGGACTAAGCTGTAGTTTTTATATGGACATTTTTCCATGGTCATTAGATGATCCTTAATGATTTTGTGGTAAGGTCAAGGTCACAGTGACAGTGGGGCTATCCTACTCACCAGCATAACATTGGTTTGTGTTTTTCATGAAACCTTTTGTGCAACTTTACATCACATCATATCATAAAGATACCAAGGCCCATAACTCTAACATGAATTTTGTCAGAATTATAGCCCTTTGTGTACTAAGAAAATTGATGGTTTAAGTTTTGCATGAAATATCAATCTTCAAAACTACTGAAAAAATTCACTTAAATCTTTATACATGTCTTTGTGACCTTAATTTTGACGCCATTATCTTGTCCTTACAGCCTTGTCTTGATCTATAACTTCTGATGGAATAAGCTAAAGTTGATGTCACTTAGTGAGGACATTGTCCTTAGCCATTTGGTGACCCCTAATAATTTGAGGTCAGATCAAAGTCAAATTCACTGGCACTCTTTGGTAAATCCTTGCCTGATCAATAAATTGAGATAAAATATGGCTAAGTTTGTTTAACTTGGAACAGTATCCATGGCCAGTATATGATCCCTATTGATTTTGAGGTCATTAGGTCAAAGGCCAAAGTGTAGATGTTGTAAAATACTTGTCTGTCTGATTTACAAGCCTATTAAAGTATGTTTAATTTGATACTGACTACTCAAATCATTATTGAGGTCAAGATGACAGGGACACATGGTGTAACATCCTTTTCTGATCAATAACTTGAAAAAATATACCTACAGACATTGCCCATGGCCAGTAGATGACCCTATTGAATTTGAATTCATTAGGTGAAGGTCACATTTACATTTGATGTGACATTCTTATTTTATCAATATTTAGAGGCACCTCAGTCATATGTTTGTGAAATTTATTATTTATAATACTGTTATTATATGCATATGATAAAATATTAATACTAGTATAACACTTGACTTTTATGAAATAAGCATTATGTAAATATGCCATTGGAATGAAGTGATGACCATAAGTGTCCTATGGATACTAGACTAGTTAATATTTTAGTTTTGTAAGCTATCTATGCTTCTGTTTTTGTCAAAATGCGTTGATTAAACATCTCTTATCAATTATTTTGACAGGCATCATCAATTGTAAGGCTTAATTTGATTTTGGCATATCCTCACTTAGTATTCCATACTTTTCAGATTACACATAATCATTTATCAAGTTTTCCTCTAAAAAAATATAGAGGTGTCATCGATAAGGATTTTTGTATCGATATATCGGTAATGAATTATCGGCGATACAGCGATATATCGATGGCCAGGCTAAATTTTAGCTTTCAAGTCTTTTTTAATGTTTCCTAAGGACACTGACAAAGCAGTTATATTTAGACAAATGCAAAAAAGATAAACTATGAAAACTGAACAATTTGTTTCTTTTTTATCATATAGCTATAAATGAAAACTAATGACTAGTAACTATAAAGTTTAAAGCCTTTTCCATTTTACTTCAGTTGTTGTTGTTGCTATAACGCAGTTACTGATCATGCTAAATCCCTTCCTTGCCGTTCCAATTAAGCCATTTTTAATTGGCAAATTATAGTGTTTAGAACCTGAATAATTATTAAAGTTTAACATTTTGTAATCAAAATTTTTACAAAGAAACACTGACAAAATTTTCTTGGCATTTTCCCTTTTTAAAATCTGAATTGAGGGGTCTTAGCAGACGTGCTAGATTACAACGAAATTCGGCAGCGTTCGTTAGAGACACTGGGAACTAACTTTGGCATTGATTTCCGTTTTCGTTTTGGAAAAAAAATGTTTCTGGCTTCCATATGTTGCTTTTATTTTGACGTTTTGCGACAGTAAACAGGTCTATCACTTCTATAAAACCTGTTCACTGAAGTCTGTTTAGCTAGAAATATATGTGCATTCGATATCCGATATTTAAATTAAAAAATGGAATCGATATCGAATCGGATAACAAAGATGGTTGATACACCGATATCGATTGAATCGATGACACCCCTAAAAAAATATAACCTTTCTTTAAAAAGCAATAAGTCATACATGTCTTTAATAGATGAATAAAACCAAATATCTTAAGGGATTTCTATTTGCCTTAATATCCATTAAATAACAGAACAATAAGAAAAGAAAAAGGCAGATCCTGATTAATGATCTTTATAGACAGGTATTACCTATATTTGTATACTGGTAATTGAATTTGAAGGCTTTTTTTTGCTCCCTCCGTTCATCAAGTTTGTGCATTGTGCATCATCAACAATTTTTTTAAACACATCTCTCCTGAAAATTAATCAAACTTCACAAGAATGATCCCCGTATGACCCCTTTACAAGACGGGTCTGTGGCATAAGTAGGTCAAAGTTTCAAAAATACAAATAAAAAAATCTTCTTTTCTGAAAGTACAAGGCTCAGAGCTTTTATATTTGGTATATGATATCATCTATAGGTCCTCTTCCAAAGTTGTTCAAATTTTGTCTCTAGCTAGAGCATGAAACATTGATTGCTGGACCTATATAAAGATTGTTTAGATAAAAGCCGTGGGTAAAAATTAGTCCTGGGGAGTCGGTGACCTACTTTTTTGCTATTTGATATATATACAGCTAGGAAATTTGGATCAATGCACTGTTTCAGATGCAGAATTGAACTTTGATATCAGTTGACCTGGATTTTGATCTAGTGACCAACTTTCTTGTCCTATGATGTACAGCTATGAAATTTGGACCATGTGCACAGTTTAAGATGCAAAATTAAACATTGATATCAGTTGACCTGGATTTTGACCTAGTGACCAACTTTCATGTCCTTTGATGTACAGCTATGAAATTTGGACCAATTTTGCACAGTTAAACTTTGACTTAATGACCTATTTTCTTGCCTTTTTAACATCCAGATATGACATCTTGAAAATTAGTTTCAGGTTTAAAAAAGAAATCTGATATCAGATGACCTAAATATTGACCTAGTGACCTATTTTCTTGTTTGTTTGTTTTTCATGTACAGCTATAAAATTTTAACCATGTGCACAGTTTAAGATGTAAAATTAAAATTTGATATCAGCAGAACTAGATTTTGATCATCTAACCTACTTTCTTTTTAAAATTAATCTAAGTGCAGAGTTTCAGGTGTAGAATTGAACTCTGATATTAGAATTTAGATGACCTAAATATTGATCTTGTGACCTCCTTTTTTGTTGTTTGATGTACAGCTATAAAATAAGGACCCTGTATATAATAAAAAAATTAAAATAAAGTATGGTCTAGTGACCAGCATCGTTCAAATTCTTGTAATAAACTCACAAAAACAGTCTGTTCTCAGGTGAGCACTTTGGTAGTTTGGAGTTGATGGTCTCTTTGTTTTTCTTCTTTTTTCTTAAATTTAAATAATATAACAATACAATTAAGCTTAAGTCTAGGCTAAACTTGCCTTATCTCTTACCCAAAGTGATAGTAGTGTAATATCTTAAACCATACATTATAAAATTATGACTATCCACTTACAATACAATTTGCCTTGTCACCCTTCAACTTGCCCATATACTGTTTTACATATAATTCTGTTTCCATAGCATAAGCATATTGTCAGTAACCATACAATTCTGTAATTCTTGATCTTTCCTGATTTTGTTTTTCTATATTCTATGGTTCATTATTTTAACTGTGTTCTTGTTGGTCCAGCTTAAACTTCATGACTTGTTCATTTTATGGCCAATGCTTTAAAAATGTCTTGATTTGTTTATTCCCAGCTGGAGATATAGAATATATTTGAGGATAAATTGCCAAAGGTCAATAACACAGTGACCTTAAAATTAAAAGATTTCTAGTGAACTAGAAGGGAACTAAAAATGACATTAATAACAGAAAATAACCAGAACCTTTACATATATCAAGGCTTTCTGTTTAAATGTCAAAATAGAAAAAAACATTTTAACCTTTACTGGAAATATTTTAGACTTAGTTACAGTAAGCTTCTGTGCATTGGGAGTAAAAATAAATTGAGAATTTGATAGGAAAGAAATAGCTGACATTGTAGTGCCTGTTAGAAATCAAAATTTTGTAAGACCTACTGATATACATGATACACATATACAGTTGTTTTCATTTTAATATTTGATTTTAATATACTGTTTAAGGCTGTTCGTAGATTTTCTCTATTAAATGAAGAAAAAAATATCTGCATTGCTTTATATACAATAAATTAAGTGTTCCTACAGTCAATGTAAAACAATTACTTGTAACTCTCATGAAATTTTCATGCTTTGAAAAGCAGCCCTATTTATTAAAAAAAAAAAATTCAGAGATGTATTCATTATAGGCCATAATCACAAATTTTGCAGTTTGGTTAAAATCTGTCTTACATGTTTCATAAATTAATATATTGTTAATATTGTTATCATGAATTGTATGTCTTTTGTGTTACAGTTGACAACATTAGACAGCCTTACCAGCTCTATCACACTAGCTGGTGTTGAAGCATTAAAACATGTGTTCAGTAAACATTTAAAGAATATCACCCTGCGTGATGATGTCCTGAAACTTGCAGATGAAATCACGTCAAAATCCAATCATGTTAAAGGTGATATAGACTACATTAAAACTGATGTGGGCAAGATCTCTCTAGATAAGCTGATAGATTACACACAGAATTCAGAGTTCTACAGGTATGTTGACTTGATACTTTATAATGATAATATTAAATTGAATTAAGCTATTTATATTATGCCAAAAAGTATTGTCAGAAATTTAAAAAAGAACACTTTCAAAATGTTTGTAGCTGTAAATTACCTTAAAAACAAATGAGGCATGTTTGAAATCATTGCTTAAAGGATAAAACCCTGCATAAAAAAAAGCTGAATAATATTTTGTTCAACAATATTTTATTCTGTTTACATACAATATACATACATTTTAAATAACACAGACATTAAATGTTACAACTCATTTGAGAAGCAAATCTTTTATGAATCAATGATAAGATTATTGAAACAATATAATTTTACTGTGGATTGATAATTGTAAAAGGTATTTCATTTCATCTAGCTTTATACCCTTCAAACATGTTGAAAGAAGCCAAAATATTGTGTCATTTAACATGCCCTCACATTATGTATGTAAAGAGATATCATGTAAAATAGATATTGAGTTAGGTCAGCCTGTATACATTTCATCTGCTTTATTGTAATATAATAATCTTGTTATTGTTGTACACACCTTTACTGCATTCTTTGGTATTTGTTTTGTTGGGTTGAGTGTGTGTGTGTGTGGGGGGGGGGGGGGGGGTAAGATAAAAAAAAAATGCATACATATCTTTTTCTTTAAATAAAAATATTATCTCACACTTATTGTAATTAAGTTGCATGATTATTTAAGTTGCATGATTATAATTAGTTATGGTCAATATTATGGGTTGCTCTTTTACCTGTACATTGTATGACTGATCTGTATAAAAATTCTTTCCAAGTTTGCTTATAATAATATATATGAAATAATCAATACATATAAACCTCCCTAAAAAGGTCACTGATTCATCAAATACCTATACACTATTGGTATTAGCAGATGACCCGGCTTACTTGGGTTTGAATATGCTGCTAATGCTGAAAAAATGAATTCTAGTCCTTTATTTAAGTGGTTTCTATCTACAGTTGGCCTTTTAACACAGGGTTGGCTTATATTACTTATCATACATTTTTCAGATGGATAGGCACAATAGTTTTATTGTCATGGCAAGTGTTGGTGCTTCTGGTTTATATCATAGCCACACTGAAAAAGTCCAAGTACTGGATTGTCTGGTAAGTTATTCTCTCTCTCTGTTTTATACTGTGTTAAATTTTTATTTCTGTTTCCAGAGATAACTTTTAAGGTTTAATGCATGTACATGATAGAGTTACAATACACTTCATAATGTGATATTGATACATATATGTATGTGAATGTTTATAAGAAGCAAATTATTGAACAGAAAATGTAAGAAGGAAAAAAACAATTATAGTATGATTGTCATTATATCTATGTGATTATTAATTCAAGATTTTTTTTTATTTCAGGGGGATAATATTTGGAATGTTCTCCCTTTTTCTTGTGTGGGCGGCATTTGGTGTCTACCTAGGAGGAACTGTGGTAAGCTTTTAGCTCAACAGAGCACAGTGCTTTTAACAGGCTTTAAGGATTTAACCTGTGTTAAGATCTGACTAGAGGTCTCAAATTAGGTTCAATCAAAAGAAAGCTTTTAAACATTATATTGCACTTATTTTGATCAATTTTAATAAACTTCAGTCACATTAAGGGGAATGGTTGCCTAGTGGTTATGGTGTCTGCCTCTCAACCGAGGTTTAAGCCCTAATTGGGTCACAACCATGTTTCTTTTTATGACAAGTATACTGGTTAGCAGCAGGAAGCAGACTTGAAACTGATAAATGTAAGTTGCAAGAACGCTGAGCCTGTTTTGCAATAAAGCTTAACGAAATATGTTTAAACTATGTGACATTGCTCTATGTAATGAAATAATGAACACATTGAAAGATTGAACTTCATGGGCAAAATTTTAGGTCTTATGAAAAGGACTAAGTGATTTAAGTGAAAGCACTAATTCTGCAGTTCTTGAAAATGTCGGAGTTATTTGATATTGGGTCATTTTGTGTGAAAATACAAGTGACGGGCAGGTTACAGGGGAACCCAATGAACACCCTGAATTGTCACATAAGGCATAATCACATTCGTCAAGAGAATAACCTACTGTACCACGGTCATGACATGGAGTTTTTTCTACAATTATTGTATTGGTTTCTTCAAGCCCTTTGTCAAAGGAACTTTATTTGTTTTGATATAACTTCACATAAGCTAACTTCTAAGATTGTTTTTGCATTAGTTGTTTGGCAAATTGTTTGTGACTTCGTAATTCTAATATGTATGAAATGAATGTTTTGATGTTACTTTACTTAAAACTAAATAAGTTTTTTATAGGTGTTTAGGAATGGCATGCTTAAGATTATATTGGAATATTTTAGTTTTACAATTGGAAGAAAGCCAAGTGTCCATCACCATTATATTTTAGCTAAGTGGAAGAAAGTTGCATGGTAATCTAAGGATTGCTGACCACACGCGTTCAAACCCTGTCAGGGGCAAGAGCAAGAAACTTTAGTACTGGTTGGTTCCAGGAACGGATTCGAGAGTGTTTCAATAAGCTTATAGCTTCCAACATAATCAGACTGAAATAAATTTGTATAAACTTAAGAAAACATTTCAAATACATTTAAGAATTCAAGTTTAAAGATATGACCACAGATGTTAGGCTATAGGCATCAGGTTATATCGATTTTATGCAGAATTCATCAATTTAGAAATATCTGTGTAAACAAATGTTTAAATGAAATATATACTAGTAAATAGAGTATTATTTTTCTGTTTTCAGGCAGTCAGTGATTTTTGTGTAGATCCCAATGCTTTTGTGTTAAGAACATTGGAGCCAAAGGTTTCACCAGGTATAATATTTAACTCACCTGAGCACGAGTGGTCTAAAGTTATATAAATGATTCAAAACTTACGCACAAGTAGGTCACAGAAGCTAAAATGGCTTTATTTTCCTGTTAAATTTAAGCAATTTTACACTGAAAGTACAATGATGACTGTTTAGTTTAAATTGGTCATAGAAGACTGCTTGTGTACATATTTCTGACACTGGTCACTAAGTTGGAATCACGGTCTTGTAAGACAGCTGAATAGTTTCCTCAGTCATCCTATCATGAAAGCCTAGAAGCTTTGTATTAAATACAAGTCTATTTCAGTTCACTTTTATAACCAATTTTTACAGTTATCCTGTCCGAACTTGTGTAGATATCCGTTTTTAGCTCAACTATTTAAAGAATAATGTGGCTATCTAACTTACCTTTGTGTCAAACTTACACATTGGTTAAAAAAAATATTAGTAGCAGGCAACTTTTAGAAAAACTTTTTATCTTTTCAGCCACTAGAGGCAGTTGCTTGAAACTTTACACCAGTCCTGTCTTTGAGATCATAATTTGAGGCCACTGTTAAAGGTCCATAACTCAAGCATGGATTTTGACAGTATTATAGCTCTTTGTGAACATAGAAAATTCCTTTGTTTGTGTGCAAGATCAATCTTTTAATCTTCTGAAGGAATTCACTTGAAATTTCACATAAAATGTGAAAGTCACTGTCCAAGGTTTTTAATATGTCAAAATAGACTGAAACACTTTGAATTGAACACTGACCTTAATAGCAAATATGCAATATATATTTTTATTTATTCTTCAGATGTGATTGAAAGTTATATTGAATGTAAAAACAACAATTTTTCTAAGGTAAGCCTTTCTTTAAAATGTATGACCCTTTTTATCAAAATGAAGATATTTAAAAAAGTTTGATTTAAACAATAGTTTTATATACCGTGGATAAATGTATGATTGTTATAGATAAAGAACAATGCTATGTTATAGGTTAACAAACTTGAAGATAAAAGAATGATGTTAAAAATCGATGCTGAAAAATTCATTTAAATCTATATCTATATTTGATAGTTAACAATCTTTGCAGACTTGTACAAATATGTTTAAGATGAAATCTATATCTGTGTTATTACAGGCACTAGATGATGCTAGAGATTATGTAACAAAAGCTAATGAGACTCTTAATTTAGCTATCAACAAAACACTACCATACAATATATCAAAATATGTAAGTAAAAAACATACCCATACCATTATATCACCATCTGAATAATAGTTAATGTGTTACAATTATATATCTTAATGTGTTGGTCTAATATACTGTCTGTCAACTTGATTTACTTTAAACAATGAGTATCAAATCTTCATGCATCATATTTAACAGTTCTTAGTATAAGTTAGCAACAATATACTCTCAATCTTGCATGGCAAATAAATATTTTAAATGAAACCATGTGTGGAAATGCAGCTATGTATTAGAAAATTAATAACTTAGTACAGGAACAAAATCCAGGAACATTCCCCGGTTACATAAGACTGCTTTACCATTATATGTTATAAAGTATTTGAAAGTAAAGAATTTTTGAAACCATGTTTGACAGGAACATTGTATGATAGCATTTACCTTTCCATTTTGTTGTGAAAGATGATAATATGTAAGAGAATTTTCAAAGACTTTTTATTTGAAATTTTTCTAATGTTTTATTTTACTTCTTCAAGTTGGTAAGTAAAAGTGTCAGTAATTAGTGATTGTAATATGTTGTGGCATGCCTAGATGTTAAATAGACAAGAATTCTGTAACATGTCACATACCTAGATGTTGAATAGACATTAGAGAATACCATATGAATTTGTAACATGTGGCATGCTAGACATTATTATTGTTATTTATTTACATCAGACTAGAAATATCTGTGAGAATGTTATGTTAAATGTGTTCTGTTTAAAATTCTGTATAGTAATTTGAATAAGTTGTCTCCATGGTCATGTAGCAAAGGTTTCTGACTGAACCACATGCCCCTAATTTTTTTGAGCTTGAATCCGGCCAGTGACTTTGGATTCATTGATGTGAGGAAGTTATCCAGCTTCACAAGGTTGATGGTTCTACTAAGGTGCTAACTTTGTACAGACCTACCCTTAAAGTGTGTGTTTGATTAAATTCATAAATAACATAAAAAGTAATAATAATAATATCTGTCATATGTTGCGGTTCGGACCGGAATATCCGTCCCGAGGGGACCCGCCCATTGGGCGGTAACGAGGCTTGCCGAGTTACCGCCCATGGGGGGGTTCCCGAGGGACGGATATCTGGATCCGAACCGCAAACATATGTTAGATATTTTTTCTTGCATATTCTGCCATATTATTTCATATTTAAAATGGTTTACCTTAATATGATATATGTTCATGGAAATTAAAGTCATTTCATCCATAACTATTTTCTAACAATAGCGTATGAACTTACAACTTAAATAACAACGGCGAAATGACGTCATCCTTAGCACATATTTCCCTTCTAAAACGACGTCATTTTAACGCGGTTTATTCATAAAGCGCGCTAAAATGATGTTGTTGTTTGGCACGCGACTCATCTGTCACCCCCCATGCCAGATGAAATTTCCGGCATGGGTAAAACTCACGGAAACGCCAGTCTGATATGCAAGAATAAATGTGCATGAGCTTCTGAAAAAACAGAAACTTTATGTAACTTGAAAATTTTGAAATTGTTCTCTAATACAACAGTTTATAGGTTTATTAGTAAAAGGTTTATTCAATCTACTACAAAAAAATTAAATTAATAACATTAAGCACATAGTGTAAAAACTGTTTAACAGCTTCAAATCTCGAAGTTGTCAGATATCCCTAGCAGCATATTTTCTTTCAAGTGATTAAGTTTCATGGTAAAAACTATTTATATTGTAGTGTCATATTTGAAAAATTGAAGGAAATATGTCATAATTATTTCTGAATTTGCTGGTCTTTTATGCTTGTTATAAGATTGTTCTGATGTATTTATAGCTGGAAGGCCCAGTACAAATAATCCGAGGAGATCTTGGTTATGCACAAGGAAATATATCTAGCCTTGGTAACTCAGTATACTGTGGACAGATACACAGTAACTATATTAAAGCGTTGAAAGGACTTTGTAACAGATCATTGTGAGTACTATACTTGATTTATACATCATATAAAATTGTTATAATTGTTTGATGGTCAGCATGAAAAACCTGCCAATCTACTAAGGTTTTAAAAAAATAACCAGTAATCATAGCTGGAATCAGTCAGTTATATATCTCTAAGTTGTTATATTTATGTACTTTATGTTGTGTGTTAAGCTTTATTTGTGAAAGGTACCTGACAAAAACTGTATGTCCTTCTCAAAAGTAACTAAGAGTTTCTATTCTGTTTAACAAACAAGGGTATTATAAATTAATAGAGTAAATCATACCCTCCCATAATATTCCAGTTCCAGCAGCAATAAATCTGCTCATGTGCCACATATTTTCACAAAAACATGTTTATATCTGTATTTCAATATACATGCTTTGGTATAATATTTATCTATGATTATATACTTAGGAAATAGATATCAATTTTGAGTGCATTGTTGTAGAATAATGCACGGTTTGAGTTCAAATGCGTAGTAATATAATCACGAAGGCCGATAGGCTTGAGTGATTAATTACAAAGCATTTGAATGAAAAACGTGCATTATTATACAATAATGCACGAAGAATTAATATCTATTTCCATTCTAACACGTCAAGGAAAAACATAATTATTATTATAAAGTTGGACTTTATGTTTGGTGGTTAAATTTGTTTTCGCCTCAGAGTTTCCAATAGAGACGTTCTTTAAAGGTCGTTCAAGTGGGTTGAAAAAAAAAACTGTCGTTAAATCTACCGTGTGTTATAACGAATTTTGAAAACGTTGATAAAACTTTGTTTGATTATTTTATTTCAGTCTATAATTTTCCAAGCGATATACAAATCATTAAAAGTGAAATAAATGGTAAAACTTAACTCGTTTGCGACATTAAAATAGCGTTCTTGATTTGATTGTTTTGCACGTGCTGTTTGGCGCTACATTGTGACGTCATGTAAACAACACTTTAAACGTCTGTACAGCGTTAACGACTGAATTAAAGATATTGGTGTTCAGATTCATTTTCTTAGTTAGACCATTTTCTTTCATTCTAGATAGTTTTCACAACAAAATTCGACAAAACATTGTTTTTATTTATCAGATTTTTCAAACAAAATGGCGCCCTCAATGTGAAAATACGCAGGGAGATAATAAAAACGGCGAGTGCATTGTTGTAGAATAATGCACGCTTCGGGCCTTCTTTGTTTATATAGAAAAATTCCCGATAGTGTTAGAATTAATCATTCTTTATATTACAGACTGTTCAGTGTAGCTTTATATCTTTTAAGATTGTATAATGCTCGAATGATATTTGCAAAGTTTTGTCTATGTATCTGAATTTACCTCTTTAAATTATAAATGAGACTGTCAGACTAAAGTTTATCATTAGAAAAAAATGGTTTGTATAAATTCTCAAAAAATTTGAAATGTAGACAGAAGTACTTGTAATGATACTGATAATAATGACAAACTGTTAGACATGTTTATATGATATATAATTTTACTGTTATATTTTGTCTATGAACAGAGTTGGGATGTCATTAATACTGCTGATACTACCCATTCTTGGATTATCCTTCGTATTCATCCAGTGCCTTGCTCCAAAGATATGGTTACTGTTAGGAACAAGGTAAACTAGAACATTTATTTATTAGATTAATTAACAGAACAATTTTGACATAAAACATTTCATATTGTGTTGTGATAAAACTAATTGTTATGGCCGCTGCATTAAGGCTTGTAAACATTCTGAATGTGTTTGTTCATGCTGCAAGTACAGATGCAACAACCTACAACAACTTGCTGGACAGAATATACTAATCATAGTTTAAGCTGACAGAATGGAACAAATGCATTATAATCAATGACATGTAGTCAGGTCTGGTGAATTGTGATCAGTATTTGTTCATATTCACAAATAACTGTACTTCACTTAGATATGAAATGTCTTGTAAATGTTTTGTTTATATCAACGCATAAAAAGAATTTTACTAATTTTATATGAAATGTTTGTAGGAAGGAATACAGAGTTGTTGATGATTCTGATCCATTCTTGCCGAGACCTCCCCCATACAACAGCTATGGTACCATGGTAGATGAGAGAGCACCATTAAGTGAGGCAAGCTACTTGTAAGTTTATTTACCTTTTATACCAGTCAACATTAAATATGAAAGTAATAGTTTTATCTACATAAAGTGTATAATTATATTGAGCTGTAATTCTTCATATTCAATAGGTGCATTGTTTGATTTTTTTAGCTCACCTGTCACAAAGTGACAGGGTGAGCTTTTGTGATCGCTTTTCGTCCGGCGTCCGGCAGTCGTCCGTCCGTCCGTAAACTTTTGCTTTAAATGACATCTCCTCATAAACCACTGAGCCAATTTCATCCAAACTTCACAGGAATGTTCCTTTGGTGGTCACCTTTAAAAATTGTTCAAAGAATTTAATTCCATGCAGAACTCTGGTTGCCATGGCAACCAAAAGAAAAATCTTTAAATATCTTCTTTTAAAAAACCATAAGAGCTAGAGCTTAAATATTTGGCATGAAACATCTTCTAGTGAGTGTCTACCAAGTTTGTTCAAATAAAAGCCCTGGGGTCAAAATTGGCCCCGCCCCAGGGGGGCCATTGATTTTCCCTATATGCATATAGTAAAAACTTAAAAAATCTTCTTTTAAAAAACCCAAAGAGCTAGAGCTAAGATATTGGGCATGAAACATCTTCTAGTGAGTGTCTACCAAGTTTGTTCAAATAAAAGCCCTGGGGTCAAAATTGGCCCCGCCCCAGGGGGTCATTGATTTTCCCTTTATGCATATAGTAAAAACTTAAAAAATCTTCTTTTAAAGTACCGTAAGAGCTAGAGCTTAGATATTTGGCATGAAACATCTTCTAGTGAATGTCTACCAAGTTTGTTCAAATAAAAGCCCTGGGGTCAAAATTGGCCCCGCCCCAGGGGGTCATTGATTTTCCCTATATGCATATAGTAAAAACTTAAAAAATCTTCTTTTAAAGAACCATAAGAGCTAGAGCTAAGATATTAAGCATGAAACATCTTCTAGTGAGTGTCTACCAAGTTTGTTCAAATTAATGCCCTGGGGTCAAAATTGGCCCCGCCCCGGGGGTCATTGATTTTCCCTATATGCATATAGTAAAAACTTAAAAAATCTTCTTTAAAAGAACCATAAGAGCTAGAGCTTAGATATTTGGCATGAAACATCTTCTAGTGAATGTCTACCAAGTTTGTTCAAATAAAAGCCCCGGGGTCAAAATTGACCCGCCCCAGGGGGTCATAGGTTTTCCCTGTATGCATATAGTAAAAACTTAAAAAATCTTCTTTTAAAGAACCCAAAGAGCTAGAGCTTAGATATTTGGCATGAAACATCTTCTAATGAGTGTCTACCAAGTTTGTTCAAATAAAAGCCCTGGGGTCAAAATTGGCCCCGCCCCAGGGGGTCATTGATTTTCCCTATATGCATATAGTAAAAACTTAAAAAATCTTCTATTAAAGAACTCAAAGAGCTAGAGCTAAGATATTTAGCATGAAACATGTTCTAATGGGTGTCTACCAAGTATGTTCAAATAAAAGCCCTCGGGTCAAAACTGGCCCCGCCCGGGGGGGGGGGGGTCATTGATTTTCCTTATATGTGTATAGCAAAAACTTAAAAATCTTCTTTGGAAAAACCCAAATAGCTAGAGTTTAGATATTAAGCATGAAACATCTTTAAGTAAATATCTACAAAGTTTGTTAAAATAAACGTCCGGGGGTCAAAACTGGCCCTGCCCCAGGGGTGTCATTGTTTTTAACTATATGTGTATAGTAAAAACTTTAAAAATCTTCTTTTAAAAAAGCCAATGAGCTAGAACTTAGATGTTTAGCATGAAACATCTTCTTATGGGTGTCTACCAAGTCTGTTCAAATAAACAAATAAAAGCCCTTGGGTAAAAATTGGCCAGGGGGGGGGGGGGGGGGACTATATACAGGTGAGCGACCTCAGGGCCATCATGGCCCTGATTTTTTTACAATTACTGCTTAAGTATCGGACACATAGAAGTGAAAAAAGAAAGTTGTAAGCTGTGTTATGACAATTTAGAATACAGTCCAACCCCGTTTATTCGAAGTGCCTGGGACTGAATATTTACTTCGAATAATCGATGGGTTCGAATAATCGAAATCGGAATATTGTGATAGACGTAAACTACTCCACTTTTAACCACTTTGAATAATACGCTCGTATTTATATTGATTTATATAGAGATAAAAACGGTACCGCCGATCTACTTCGGATAATGCCGGGTATTCGATTAAAGGGTTGTCGAATAACCGGGGTCGGACTGTATATCAATCACCCTAGAGTGAAGATATAATTACTTGTTAATTTGTATAGACATTATGTTAGGTAGAAGATACAGCTTATAGCTTGTTATAGTTTCAAAGCTAAAGTAACCTTTATTACAAGTGACCTATAGATGTTGACATTCATATTAGCTTTTTACATCAAAAATTATTTTAATTTATTGAATTATATATATATTATGTTGAACTCTATGTAACAAGTTACTATGATATTTGATATTAATTATGATATATATCACAATTACAGAGATGACTCAACTGTTATGACATCACATCCCCGCACAGAATCTGTTGGGTCAGATTCCCCGCCCCCTGCTGTAAGTACTTTGTATGATTAAATCATTGTTAACTGTGTATATTGATTTATATTTTATAGAACATTCAAAGTCATAGTTATACTGTATGAAGTATATCACTCCAACATATCAGTTCCATTGCACGATATTCTGTAATCTTATTGTTAGATATCATGGTACACTATTGGAATGAAGTACCTGTGAATTCATCAAGGTTTGCAGATTTATTCTGGAGATTATTTTAGAAAATGAATCAAAATGTGATCTTTTATTGTATTTATGTTCTCTGTACCTATCTGCATGATGGTATTTCTTTATTGAAGGCATGTCTTCAAATTGTACTTGAATGTAAAATCTGCTTAATTTCTGCCTTATTGTTTTATAAGTGTATGATGTGGTTTAATTTGCCTTAAGAAAAGGATGTTAAATGAAGTTTTATGAATTTAAGACGTTAATTATATGTTGAATATGTTGAAATTACTGATTAAGCCGTTAATTCAGCAGCTTTATTTGTAATTGGTAATGGCTTTCATTGTGCTTAATAACTTAGTATTTGGGGGGTTAAGGTTGCTTACTTACTTGCCCCTCACTGCTGTGGTTTGAACCACCACTAAGTTCTTTGAATTGTTTCTAGTGAGGGTGCTATCAAGCATATTGCATAATGAACTTTGGTGGTTGTACATAAGTGCCTACTTATTCCTGAAATAATGCACATGGGATATCTAAGATCTTCCAAAAGTTAAGCTGAAAAATCTCCAAAAATCTTTATAGTGTTGATGTGACTTCAAACACAACCAAGATATTTACTACAAGTGCATGGAACATAAGCTTAACGTCATCAGTTATTTTGTGGAGCAGTAGAAATTGTGCTGATCTGCATTGAGATATGATGCTGTCAATATAAACCTAGAGGGCTGCTTTACTTGTCTTGCTTTATTTCAGCAACCATTGTCCAGATTAAATTAAATTTCCAGGGAAGCTTTTCAGGCAAGGAGAGCTTGTAGAGATAAGTGGCATATGTCTGTACATTGGTGTCAGCCTTTGGTGCCCTTTCAATTGTTGTTGTTGGCCTAACTATATTTTAGGAACAGCTGAATGGACTTTAATAGAACTTTTCTAGGATGGATCACTTCAAAGTGTTTTTTACAAAGACTAATAGAAGAAACAAATGTTTGTTTAATTTCAGTTTTATCATTGTTGAATCATATTTCTCACCCATGTTTATCTTATGCTATATTCTCAGGTATTGCTGTGGTGGCATCCATAATTCCCAACAATATCTTTGTAGATTTTTCTGTCAGTCAAATGGGTCCTGGTACCTATCATTTATGTGTATTTTATCCACTTAATTACAGTACCGTAGAATCAGCAGTTACTCTGAACAAGTACATGATCTGGGAACATTCCCTACTCGTAATTCGGGCGTGAATCACTACGCTTCTACCAACATTTAGTGGTCAGACACCTTTGTTTTACAAATTGTCCTTACTTAGAATTACTAACTGTAACACCTCATCTTGCCTTTGTTAATTGTTTTTTTTTATATTTCCTTTCTAACAGTTTCAGAAAGATGAGGTATAGTAATCAGGGGCTTTGTTTCATGCTACATGTAAATATAATTATACACAGCATTCAGTCTTTTCCTTACATAATAACTTTATGGTGAAGGGGGTCTAGCAAACAAAAGCTTTGTCTAAGTTATAGCATATACTAGGCTAGTCCGGGACAGAAGATGTTGTCATGAAACTTATAGCTTTGCATATATGCAATTTATTACTCAGAAAGTAATTATTTAACCTAATTAGTGACTTGAAATAAGAAACCAATTATATTTGATACATGGTATCAAGTCATAAATAGTTCATTACATATACATTGTATAAGTTGATATGTCTATATATAGGTTTATTAAATTGATATTAAGGTTATTTTTAAATGGTGAAGGACAAAAATGATAGGATGTAAAACTCATACTAACTTCAGGTCAACTAAGTCGTGAAAAAGTCCATCTTTTCAATTGCCAGAATGTAGGATACATGTAGCTAGTTCTTCCTAAATAACAGAACTCAGAGTAAATGTGGCCCTACAAAATCACAATTTTATCTCTGAATGCAAGCAGCAATTAGTAATTCATCAATGCTACTGGTCTAGTATAGAACCGACTCTGTAGACTTTACATAGTTAAAACGTCTGTTGATACAGGAAAACATCAAATCCGCAAATGAACAGATCTACCTGTAATTTAAAAGGACAGGTCAATTGCATACATTTATCTTTGTTAATGCTAAAGAGTTTGCATGATCTATTTTGACTCTTCTCTTTAATCAATAACCTTTTGTATCCTTTGTAAATTAATTTTGGTATCATATTAATTATTGTATGTTTTGAGTTTTTACAGTAATTGATGTGTTCTGTATGTATACAGTATTTCTGAATTAATAATTTTTCCCTAACCTTTCCACACTGCAGAACATTTTTGCACAGATTTTTGTGTTTCAATTTAATATATTACGTCACTCAGTTAAAGTTGTTATACTTTTGTTTACGCCTATGTATTTTATGCTTTGTTTATCTATACAAGACACTGGTTCCGGGGAAGAAATTAAAAAGATCAATACCTGTTACAGTGTTGTTAAATATCTTGTATATAATTTATCATGTATTATGTAAGAAAGGAATTAATATAAATACTCATTTATAGCTGGTGAATGAAAAATAAAAATGCATTTTGAAATATTGATAAATTACAATATAATATTTAAAAAATGAAAATAATTATGGTGAGTGGCAAAGTATTTTGTACAGCAATTATAGTCAGATAGATTTGATACTGATTAAGAGTGGTGTTTAAGTACATGTACCAGTAGTTATATAATGTAATCTCATTATGTTGTTAAAACTTTTTACATTTTATCTTGGTGTGTTAAGTTCAAGATATCTCGGTAAAAGATTTGTTAACATGAAGTGAAGATTTGTTGATAAACATAATCATATGACTGGTGATTGCACTGTGCCGTTCAACTTCAAAAGTGGCTTTCTGAGGCTACACAAAATCAAGATTATTTTAATATAATTGAAACAAGTCTAGAAATTTAACTGTTTAATTAGAGTGGTAGAGTTTGTAACAGATTTTTCTCCCTTTATACTGAGTATAAACTGGAACCTGTATGATGTAATGTTGTTGTTGTTGTTGTGTTATGTTAAGACTATTATTATCTGATATATTTCAGTATTATCCTGGAAGTTTTGTAGAACAGTATAACAATCTGGGCACGTTTCCTAGGAGACAGAGGCAACAGAATTAGGACAGCTTTATTCTGACAGGTGTTCACTGTATGTGCCTTCTCCATCGTTACATCAACATATGTTGGCAGATTCCGCAGTGCGGACTTAAGGACATTTGTATCTGTGCAATGGGTGAAACAAATACTTATATTTGTTTGAAATAAGGAAGGAATAATAAGCTAGTATGACAGCGTATATGTTGACAAAGTATACCATTGATCTTGTTTAGATGAACAGATATTTTTATACATTTTTTGTGTGTTTTATTTGAAAGATAGAATTTTTAATTTTGCTTTTGTCAAATTCATTAATGATGTAAATATTCTATGTTTGTTGACAGTAATTCAATATGTGAAAGTTAAACGGTTTCAAGCTAAGTCCCTAAAAATGATATCCTATAGAATGTTTTTTTCTAATGCATTTAAGTAATAGGTCAACTATATAAAAACATCAGTAGTGGTATCGATGTCTGTGTAACACTTGATTAAGGTTTTGCAAGCACCATTCTTTCTATTTACTATGTAAAAGTATTCACTGAAAACTTGATACTTATTGTTTGGGTCTTAATTGAAGGTCATGACCCAGAACCAAGAACTTTAGTATACATTTTAATTGAATTATTTCTTTTTATGAATTTAGAAAATCTCTGTATACTATCAAACTTGGAGAAAATTAGTGGAGTGCATTATCCATGGATAACACCTGTTTGTTTTTGTGTATTTTTTATAACCCTAAAAAAGTATTAAGAGAATAGATATTATTTAATGTTTCTTATATTTTATAAATCTTCTTTTTTTTTTAATGTTTCACAATTCCTTGTAAATAGATACTAAGATAATAGTCAGGGATGAGATTAATTGTGATGATTGTTATAAATGCAATTAATAGTATTATTAAACTGGTTTTATAATTTTGTAATCATGTATTTTAACATGCCATTATTATAATGTTTAAATATTTTTATGTACTGTTCTTTTGTTGTTGTTTTTTTGTGTGTAAATATCAAAATTTTTACTAGTCTTTTGTAAAAGAAACATTTTAAAATTGATATTCTTTGTAATAGATAACAATTTTAATTAAGGAATATAAATTTTTTTAATTTTAAACATTTTGATTTATGTTATTGAGTGTAATGTGTATATACAATGAGATTTTGTTATTGATCATTATATTTTTCAATGCTCATGTAGTTGTGGTCTTTATCACAGGTTGTACTGTACCATATATAATCATAATGGATGTAATATATGATGTCTGATGTACCAAGTATATACCATTATAATACTGCATGTTTGTAACATCACTTTTTATTGGATAATCTTGACGTTTATATAGCTGCTGTCGATTCATGAAGATATCTTACATTTTTCTCTAAAAAATGATGCTTGCTGTATTATAAATTCGTTATAAAGATTGTTTACAGGTTATATGGCCGTATATAAACGGCTGTTTGCAATATAACCATCGCCTAGCGGCTCGGGTTATATTTACCAATAGCCGTTTATATAGGGCCATATAACCTGTCAACAATCTTTATAACTTATAACATAAAGGTGCCATCATGAACTGGGATATTGTCATATTTGTTATTTCTTAAAAGTGTATGAAAGAGAATATTTCCAAAACAGCTGTAAGAAAGAAATACAATTGTATATCTCTTTAAGAACTAATTGGGTATGCACCAGATCATTGCTAAATTATAAAAACCCTACTTAAAATAGCAGAATATGATTTGTTCTTGAACAATTTATTTGATTTTTGTATACAATATTAATGTGTAAAATAACAGAGAGATTTTTTTTTTACAACTCTTACAAGAATTGAGTTTAAAATTATGAAAACAAAATAATTTCGCAGTTTTTAAGTTGTATAAAAATATCTTAAGATTTAGCTTTATACACTTTATTAAAATCTTACTGCATATATATTTTTAAATATATTGTACATGTTTACTTTTATTATTTTTGACTATGTTGAAGCTAAAATGAAATGTTTTCTAATCATGCCATCTCCATTAGTTTAATGGAGAAGGGTTTGTAAGTATGATCACTGCTAGGTTCCTGAGATATGATGCTTCTGTAATCTTGGGAGACTGTCAATGTTTTATGTAGGGAATTGATCTTTATTGCCAAAACTACTGAGTTAAAATCGTTATAAGGTAAAGATTACTTTGTGAAATGAAAATACAATAAAAGTTGATATTCTATGTCATGTTGGTATGTGTGTGCAATCAACTTTGTTGGATATGATAATTTACAGTAATAATTTAGTGCTATAAATAAATGTTGAAATCCATACTTGTTTACATTACTCCTCATTAACTGTATCATTTCTGTTCATTCATTATCATTATTTGTTTCATGTTTATTTTCATATTGACTTAGAGCTCATACTTTCACACCAATCATGTTCATGTCTTAATTAAAACGGAGGGGGCACTATGGCCGAGTGGTTACCATTACTGACATTAAGTGCTTGTCAGTGCAGCTTAGAACTATGAATCTTTACATGTGAGGAAGTTGTTAAGATATGGTAGGTCAGAGGTTCTACAAGAGAGAATTAATGCATGGAGGTATTCCTCCACCAGTTTTGCATTTGTCATCTCGACACAAAATTATTTTTACTGCATATAAGTATATTACATTTGTAGTACAAAATTTATTGATGTTCATTCAAAAATGAATATCATCATCTTTTATTTTAAGTCAGTAATGCTTTTATGTGTTAGATTTACATAGTTTTGAAAGTATCCTGTCAAAAAATAGTGTGTGTTTAAAGCGAACAATGTTGTGATTAAGAAAGTTGAATTTATTTTTCTATTATTTTCTATTATAAATAGACCGTTCTTTTCTGTGTTTCTGTTCATGTAGGTTTCTCTGTAAAAAGAATACAGTACATACATTTATTTTGTTTTGTCAATCATTTACAATATGTGATGCCATCTTTTAAGAAAACTTTTTTGCAATGAAAATATCTTAATGCCATCAAATAACTAAGCTACTTTTGACTGTAAATTTGCTTGATAAACAAGTTACTTGAAAATTAAATTATTTAATAATGGATGCAAAAACATTAGAATTTTGATAAATTTTTACTTTTAAACAAATTCACATGTAAGTAATTAATTTAAATCAGACTGTCTAAATGTTTAATGTGTTTTCAGAACAAAAAAGAAACTACTGTCAAAGATGTTTAAAGCAAATAATTTGTATGTGTGTATAAGTATTTGAGTTATTTTATCTGGTTTGTTATGCTATTATTCATTTGTTCACATTATTAACCAAAGAGTTTGTAAATCTTTAGATGGCCATAAATGTATGATACTCATCAAGTTGATCTTAATCAACTTTAAAACATATATAATCAAAATTAAACTCCATGTTAATGTTAAGGTTGTAAGTTTAACTACATGTATAACATGTAAAGCAATTATTACCTCCCCTTGGCCTGCATTATGAGGATCATTACCAATTTATTATATACCTAAGATAAGAAAAAAAATCTTATAATATTATTCTATTCATGAAAACTGATAAAAAAAAATCTTTTACATTTTGGTGCTTACATAGTATTTTCCTACATATATGTAAAAGAATTTGATAATTCACCTAAATAAGCTGTTTTATTTTTTTACTATTTTGTCAATTAAATTATTATAGATTATGGTATTGACCCCCAAAATGGATGCCACTTTTGGCAAGGGAGATCAGTTATAAAAAAAATCAGGAACTATCAAAATGTGGCTCTGTTTTCATTCAAGCTGTGATTGATAGAGAAATTAGACAATCATATAAAGTGCCTTCTAGTATTTACATTTTTGTCAATTATATGTCAATACTTGATTATAAACAATTTGTAAAGATGTTTTTGTGATCAAGGGTAGATATATGCATATTTGAACAGGGTTTTAGCATATATGTAACTGTAAAACAGTTTACCAGTATAACTTTCTTGCATGTGATGATTATTGCAGTAAATATGGTAAGGATTGCCCCAATGTTTACAATATTTATTTTTTATGCAATTGGAATTAACAATTTACAAATTCTTCTAGATTAAGAAATTATACTTGTAGAAGTAGTCTTCCAAATATGTTATTAATTGAAATTAAGACGCCCCCACAAGTGACACATAGATTCCTGTTGATCTAGAACAACATGGACAGAATCACTGGTAGATAAAATACCTTTTTGACAGCACTACAGAAACATTTTCATTGTTTCAAAATAAAAAAGCAAACAAACAAATTGTTTGAGCTGTCACTTGGCTATATATATATATTGCATTTAGATAATGATAAATTGTTTATTTTGGCATGTTTATGAAGGTATAAGCCCTCTCTATCAGTAATTCAATTCTCTGTTAAACCTGTAGACTAATCAATACATACTGTCACAATATTACCTTGTTATATATGAAATTATGAACACATCCAGTATTTTGATATTTCATTGCCTCTTATAACTTGTTTTGTATTCATATTTATGGCTTTGATTTTACATAGGTCAAGTTAAATACTGATTTCCTTGGTAAAAAAAAATAACATTAAAATCTGTGTGTACATAAACTCAATATATCAATTTTACAAATGTTTATCTGCCCTTAAAATTGTCCCGTAATTTTATTGAGAATTTTACCTGTCTATAGTACTTGTTTTTATTTCATCATAAAATCATAGTCGGGAATTTATTATAGATTTTTTTATAAAGAAAAGAAATAATTTTTTTGTTATTAGTTTGCTAAAAGACATGGGGTTACTTCGTCATTTTTTACCTATGCAATGACACTTTTACTTAATGCAAGGACTGTTTTATACTCATTTTTTATGATTTAAAAAGTTATTTTAATACTCTGTAATATGCTGTTGTAAAATATTAAAAAATAACTTCATACATATTATTGTTGTTTATCTGCAATTGCAGCATTATGGTATCTTATATAATGTATAGTTTTATTAGAGTATTCTTAAAAGTTATTACTGTGTCTCTCTCTCCTCCCGCAAGAGGTTTGACAGTGTCATGGCTAATAAATAAGCCTTTCTCCAGAATTGACGCAAGGGGAGTTGTATCAGCGTGTCTCAAGGACTACACACAAGGTTTGACACTTTTAGCATGTCTTCAGGTGTAATAAATCCAGGATTATCGCTAGGAAAGTGTCTAGGTCTTTTGCCAGAGATTTGACATTATAAGGGTGTCTCTCAATGTACATACTCCAGGAATATCAGTAGGAAAGTTGTATCGGTGTGTCTCTATGTCCATATACCTCAGTTATAATACTATTGGCATGTCTCAGGTGTACTCATCTCAGGATTATTACTTAGTCAAATGAATATTTATAAGCCTGTCTTTAGGTGTATTTATATTACTTCAGAACTGACACTAGAGAAGTTGTACCAGCCTGTCTTTAGTGGCTGCTCTCTGTTTATTTAGCATAATAGCAGTCGCAATATCATCACTAGGATATTGGGAGACTGCTAAACGTATAAGAAAACCCTCTTACGCCATTTAAGCACTTTGGTTCTAGTGTGCAAAGGCAAAAACATATTTGAGAACTCACTAGAATAATGGCACAACCCAACGCTCTGAGCTAGTCACAGACTTTCTTATTATACCCCCGCACAACGAAGTAAAGGGTATACTGGAATCAGCTTGTCCATCCGGCTGTACGTCTCCCCTTCCGGCCGTCCGGCGATTTTTTCTTGTCCACCCAATAACTTTAGATTCCTTTGACCCAGTTTTCATATTTGGTATTTAGATTGGTCATTATTAGTAAATGATCCCTATAGATTTTGAGGTCACCAGGTCAATGTCACAGGGGGCTTGACTAAGAAACGCTTGTCTAATAACTTAAGATTCCTTTGACCCACAGTCTTCATATTTGGCATGGTGGTTAGTCATGACCATTAGATAACCCCTAATGATTTTGAGGTCACCAGGTCAAGGTCACAGGGGCCTTGACTATAAAAAGCTTGTCTGCCCAATACTTTAAGATTCCTTTGACCCATAGTCTTCATATTTGGCATGGAGGTTAGTCATGATTAGTAGATGACCCCAATTGATTTTGAGGTCACTGGATCAAAGGTCAAGGTCACAAGGGCCTTGATTAAAAAAAGCTTGTCCGCCCAATAACTTAACATTCCTTTGATCCACAGTCTTCATATTTGGCATGGTGGTTAGTCATGATTAGTAGATGACCCCTATTTATTTTGAGGTCACTGGGTCAAAGGTCAAGGTGACAGGGACTTTGACTTCACAAAGTTTGTCCATCCAATAACTTAAGATTCATTTGACCCACAGTCTTCATATTTGGCATGGAGGTTAGTCATGATTAGTAGATGACCTCTATTCATTTTGAGGTCACTGGGTCAAAGGTCAAGGTTGCAGGGACTTTGACTTCAAAAAAGTTTGTCCGCCCAATTACTTAAGAAACCTTTGACCCACAGTCTTAATATTTTGCATGGAGGTTGATCATGACCATTAGGTCCCCTATTGATTTTGAGGTCACTGGATCAAAGGTCAAGGTCACAGGGACCTTGGCTAAAAAGGTTTTCCGTTAAATTGCTTAAGAATGCTTTGGTCATCAGTCTTCATATTTGGTATTGAGGTTGTTTATGACTAGTAGATCACCCCTATAGATTTTTAGATGACTGTGTCAAAGGTCAAGGTCACACAGATTTTTACTATAATAAGCTTCTCTGCTCAAATGCTTAAGAATGCCTGTCCGCAGTGTATTGATTTTGACATTTTCACATTTGAAGCATGTAGAATACCATGTTGGAGATGGTATAGAATGCCCAGGTTTGTGAACATGATCTAGAGTTTTACAGAGGACACATGTCAGAAAGATTGGCCTGTAGTTAGCTGGGCTTAATGGGTCACCAATCTTATACGACCAGGATACATTGATGAGTCCTTTAACTTTCTGTTAAGCTTATATTTGTTTACTTCAGATACATGTTCAAAAGTGGACTTAGGATCTAAATCTTTAGTAATCTTAGAACGTGACACTTATAAGGAAGATAAATATTACTTGAAAGGAGTACACACGTATTGGTTGTATCATCCGTACTAAAGTTCACTTCCGGGTATGTCTTGATTGTAAGCTCACATGATTTAAAGAAATAGTTAACTCACTTAAATATTATCTGTCTTTTTGTATGTTTACTATATAAGCTAGTACGCTCTTAACTTCGACTGGTTATCTGTCTTTCAATGAAAAAGCAAAACATAATACACGTTAAGTTTTTTTTGTACTTGTTGACAAACAATGATATTTATTATCTACACATGTATACTAAATTATGGTATTTTCAAAGGGTATCGACTTTGTTACACATTTAAGATAAAAAAATATTATACATGTATGTACTGAACTTAGCCCTCGCTGTATACAATAGGTATATAAACAAAGATATCAAAACTAACAAGAATATGAATATTTTTCGTGTTTTATTGCTTTGTAGAATAGTTTACAAAATAAATAACCAACAAAAAGCACGTGCTTGTATAAAAATCAGGTCATATATAAAAGCGTCTTTTTCAACAGTAAGCAGATACATGCTATAATATGACATTATCATAACATTCATATATGAAGGTCAATAAAAATGTAATATGAGGCAAGAACGCACCAAATACAACCTAGTCCTACGATTTTTCCTGAATTTTGAACGAAATTGAATGAAGTTACCGTGAATGACTTATTTCTATCCAGACTGACATGATACTACATGTAGAAGGGAAACTCCTTCAAATGATGTTCAGTAGAAAAGTGGAAATTTCCTAATTCGCAGAAATAAAACAGTGAAAATTAAGTTACTTAAGATAGCTGTTGAACTTAGCAAGGTGTACCAAACACTGTCCCTAATTACAAAAAAGGTGTTCAGTATAATGTATATCTTTATACTCCAACTTCCTTGTAAAATTGTGCAATCATGTATGCAGTTTTATTATATACTTCAGAACGCCAGATTTTTCAATTACCTTTTTGTGAGAAATCAAATTTTGTTAAGATTACAAGCACATCTATAAAAAACCATAAATCACTTCTATCATAGCAATCAGGAAGACGGACCAAGATAATTGCTCATTTAAAATAAGGAAGCATACTAGAAATTAAACATAGAATTGAAGCAAGTTAATTATACATGTATGTTTCATAAAATGCTGCTTTAAAAATACACTAAATGACAGCTGCAACCAGATAAACATGTTTCGGTACTTCTAATGTAAAGTAAATAAAACAATTGTCGACTTAAAGTCAAAGTAAATATGCTATTTACAGTTTTAAATACGAGCAGATAAAACTGTCGTGAGGCGTTTCATATTAAATGTAAATACAACATTTAAAGAAAAGTAAAGAAGTATAACATATCCTTAACTAACACCTACCTGAATGACAGGATATCTTTAACTAAAATACAGACAGACAGACAGACAGACAGTTTGGCCAGTAGAGTCAATTAAGATATCAATGTATGTTGAAAAATTTAACTTTTAAATCTTCATGATATTATGATATACATGTGATCCTTAAATAATCTTCATAAAATACATTAGAAATTTTCAGAGTTACGATTTTTTATACCATCTTGCCTTTCCCACATAATTGATACAGGTAGCAAAATTTACATGCTAAAAAGAATATTCCTGACAATGCATCTTTTCCAGTGGCAATGAATCATTATTTTTGTAAGTTTCAAACCAAATGTCATTCTCCCGGTAACACATATACATACATTTAAATAGAGAGGGCAGCAGTAATGTAAAAGTTTGATTCATTAACACTTTGGTAATTGTTGAACACACAGCTTACAAGTATACATGCATTATGATCAGTTATTATCATCACCATCATGAGCCTCGGCGTCTGTACCCGGCTCAGACTCGTTTTTCTCTTCAACAAGAAACTTTTTGTTCAATGCTATTTTCACACAACTATCAATTAGCCTTGCATTAGGAAGAGGGACTCGGGCTTTTTCAGCTTCACCCCTGTCCGTTTTAAAAACAATCATTTCCCGCGTTAAGGAAGTGTCCTCATTCTCTCCTCCAACGATGAAAATATTGCCTCTATATTGCACCGCTCCATAGTGAATGCGGCGGAATGATTTTACTGTCCCAACAAGATTACACACTTGGCCATTCCCAAAAGGGTTATATTCCACTATTTTCCCGCTGAAGAAAATTACAAATATTCGTCTACCTGAAGTTACTGCTTTAGTAAGTTTTGAAATGATAGAAAGGCTTGTGATTTTTGTACATTCATTTGTTCTAGTATCGAAACACTGAACAACCCCAGTGTCTGTTTTATCATTCTTTTCTCCACCAAACAGGAGGATTTTCTCCCCTGATACAGCAGACGAGAAAGAACTCACTGGAATAGGAAGTTGTGCCACTTCGTCCCAACCATCCTCACTCATATCATACTTTTCAATGCTAGCTAACATTCGGTTTCCCTCAGCCAAACGATGATCGTAGCCACCTATTACATAAAGCGTGTTTGTGAGGGCTACCATGACATGTCTTCTGCGACCTTGACATAAAGGTTTACCAATCTTCCATTTGTTTTTGTCAGCGCGATATTTCAAAAAAGTTTGAGTTCGGCTACCCCCGCCTGTAAGATAAACATCATTTCCATAAGTGCATGTTGCAAATTCGATACCAGGGTCATATGGGAGAGATTCTAATTTATACCATTGTTCAACAGCAAAACTGTACGCTAAAACGTCATTGCAGCGTTTATATGGCGGGTGCATAGACATACAGCCTCCCATAACGACTAGAACCTCGTCAAACTGACTACAACGCCTATGATGGGTAACTGTTGAGTTAGCTTCCTGCCGGCGGGCAGGGAGTAATTTGTATTGTATTGCGTCATCAATGTATTGCTGTGCAAGTTGGTCGTCCATCACCAAAGATGTTGGACTACTTTTTAGCACCGCTAATCGTTCAGCAGATATGTGACCTAATCGAACGTTCGCCAGTATTTGTCCAAGTTTAAGCTTCCTCAAGCTAGGATCACCTCTTCGAGACCACGCAAACACGGCATCAAGTACTATCTCTTCAGCCGGTACCTCCAATTCATCATCCTTGATTATCTGAATCAACTCATAAGCGTCAAGACGCATAAATGCATCTGTTTTATAAAGTTGGAGGAAGTTTTTGAGAATCTTTTTAATAGCCCTTACTCGTACTTTTTCCCAACTGTGGATTAAAGCCAATCGCCAAATATCTATACAGTTATCCAGATCTATGTAAGGTTCTAATATAGCCTCACATTTTTCACATAACGATTTTATTTGTAAAAGAGAAGAGGCTTTCAGTAGTTTTATCACATTTTCTTGAGTTACAACCTCTTTACCAGTGTAAATATATTCCATCACCAGTTCAAACGTATCTGCCTCCATTTCTTTGAATGTAATTTCTCCACTAACACTCTCCCTCATTCCAGACGAAAACATTGCATCAAAATAGGGTGATGTCGCGAACAAAACGGCTTTATGGCAGTTGAAAACTCGACTCTCCACGGTTATTTTGATGTCAGAATGCGCTCCAGTAATCCATAGTTTCTCAAGCCCTTCTGAGAGATGATTAAGACGTGGGCCAGCGGCTCCTGACGATGACGTCATACTCTCGGCGTCACATTCTGCATCCTCGTCATCTTCCAGGTCGTCTGAATCTGCAAACAAACAAAAACAATAATCACCTTTTGTTCAGTACACAGTAACACTTTAACAGCCTACCGAATATGTCCATTAATAGTGAACAAAAAAGTATTACCAATTAATATCTGTATTCACTTTCTGACGAAAGAAAATAGTATCACACAAGGCACATATTCTAAAGCAGTCTCTTTAATTGGTTTTCCAACAAATATCAATATTACAGAAAATTGTGAACTTTCGCTTTTCTCGGCATAACGATATAAAAACTTGGAGCTGATAATGGTGTTTCATTGATCGTATCAGTTTGTTTACATACAGCTAACTGCATGTGTACATATTAAATAGTGCAAATATAGCTTTGTAACATATAAAGGTTATTCACTATCGTTATGTTAATGAAGCACGACTGTATGTATTCAACAACAGTATTTACAGCTCTTTATATATGCATCATTTCTCGTTTGAAAAAAAAAGACTGTTTTTTTACGTTTCATTTAAGCTTGGATGACGTACCATGTCGATAATTTGTGACAACCTTAAGTAATTGAAATAGCATAAATCTCGACTTGCAAGCAAAAGAATAAAATAAATATAGTATTAAGTACACGAAACAAGCCAGATCTGTACATATATGCATGATACAATATTAATTATGTATGCTTATAAATAACCTTTTTTCTGTATCTGAACATCAACTTCCATAGCTTCACGTTCACATTGTTTCTATTTAAAATGAAGAAATGCACACAATTTAAGTCTTATAGTTAAAAAATATATTCCCTGTCCAACATTAAGAGCACATCATATTATGTAGAGAACACACTCACAGCACATCATCTAATATACGGATCGGAAACTGACACTCTCGCTCGTCTCAAGTGTATAAAAACACCACTTGATAAACATACAGTGAAAACGTTGTTCTTGAGCCATCTACATATGTTTTATTCAAACCGTAACACAACTTTTCACTAATTTACATGTGTTAAAGGTTATAATGTCTCCTTTTAAAATCTTGTTTGAGAATTAAGGCGTAATTAAAAATGAATAATAAGTGTAATTGACCTACTATCCATCCATTATCATCCACTTCCAGAAATGAACAGTTACTACCTCTGCCCTATGATCAGTATCCGTTACTAATTAAATATAAAAATTTAGACTGAATCTTTTAAAAATCTGGTAAACGACATTGAAGACTCCTTTTACTTTATATAAACCTTTTAAATTTCCAAAAAAGGAACATAGTTGCGGTACATGCATGTGAATTTTGTATTTTTGTTTGTTAGTTGTTTTTTTAACAGGACAGTGTTAGAGTATGAAAATTATAATACGGAGCACTTATTAATAAAACCAGTTCTGGAACGACGCCGGGCATAATACAATATCTTTTTAAAATCAGTTACCTGTAATAGAATTAACAGAACGTTCCACGAAATCGCAAGACCGTTTTAACCCGAGTTTCACCAGTAACCTGGTTATCTCGGCCACTGTCTTCTTATTGAACATTATGTCTGAAATTCTTAAAGTTTGTGAATGAGTTTCACATGTGCATGTTATATAAGCGGGGATGCGTTTTTTTTACTCTAGGATGTTGATATCCGAGAAGTAAAATTTTATAGTAACTTTACAAACGCGGGAAATATTATACAGATTTCTGTCAATATGTAATATATATAAGGTTACATTAACACGGACGTCACCAAAAAAACCTACATTGTCCGTTATATAACTAGAAAATGGAAGAAATATAACACCAAAGATGAGAGAGATAGGAAATAAAGTTATTTTAAGGCAATTACGTTTGTGATATTTGTGGTAAATAGGTAAGTTGAAATTAATTCCAAGTGGCAAATACATGGAAACCGCACTGACTCAAGACAACTTTCCGTGATTTCCAGTTATATGACATCATACGAAAACGATGTCAAATAAAACTATCTGTGCATACTTAATGATGCAAGCATTTTTCATAACCACCCCATCCACCATCCCAATAAATATTATTTTCAGCTTGGTTTAAACATATTTATTCCCGAAAGTATATATAATGTACATAAAAATAAACAGCAACATAATGGAAAAGGATGAGAATGAATGAAAGACAGTCTTATAGAATTCTTCTCCTTTGACGAACTATACTACAGTATATGGTTTGCCTTAAATAAGTTGATAGTTAGGATATACTAGACAAGGTAATACGTTCTAATTATACACACATTTAAATATATATTTATACATAAATTTATATAGAGCAGATTTACAATACTACAAGGAGAGGTCTAAAATAAAAGAATATTATATATATTAAAGAAGAAAACAAAATAATGGGAAAGAGAGAGGAGAGGATTATAGTCTCATTAAGAATGAATCTAAATAAATCGTTTTTTTCTATATAATTTTGTACGTGTGTAAATATAATAACGTTGCCCTGGTATGTAAGAGATGGGTCACCATAGCTTATAAAGGTTTATGATGAAGTCTTGAAAGTTAAAGAGGAGTGTTCTGCAGACGGTATTAAATGCACAGCATTCGAAAAAGAAATGTTTGGTAGTTTCAATTTGCCCACAATTACATAAGGGGATAAGAGAAATGTTTTTCAAAAAAAGGTGGTGCTTTAATGCGCTGCAGTTCGTTCGAAGCCGTGTGTGAAGGACCTGCGGTTTACGACTACATATGTAGCGTATATTTCCTGTCCTTGTTAAATGAGGATACCGTATGAATAACTGATGACAATAAAGAGTAGTCCTTGATGAAATTCCTCTGATATCTTCAGTGTTTCGTAAGCCGTATCGGGCTTGATCTGGATTTGGTATTAATGATGATCGAGAGATAATCTGGAATTTTGTTCGACTGCATATTGTAAAACATAATTAGTTTGTGTTTATAGCTTCTTTCGGATAACGATTCCCAATTAATTTCTTTCTGCAGAGTTTCTATTGAGATAAGCTTGGTTGCACTTAAACAAACATTTTAGATTTATAAATAATGCATTTATATATACGCAATATTACGCTGAAAAAAAGAGAGTTGCCTGCTAGGATTCCTTTTATCGCTGTATTATCGATATGTTACATATATGCAGCGCATTTTGTCATCGCCGACAAGTTTTGTAAACTAATGATATTGACCTTAATATGAATTACACATCAATAAAGTGATAGAAGACAGTTAATAGAAAATGCCAATACATGAAAAAAATGATATCGAGATTCGTCAATAATTCAAAATACATATAATGTCCATTAAGCAAATATCACAGTCATTGTCTTTATACATCAATCATTTTATCTTCATTCTTTTCCAGTATAGCAGGACTTCGAGTCATAAATTAATGGGTTTGAATCTCAAAAAGAGACGTTTCTCGTTAGGTTAGCAGTCTCTATAATATATAGAGACACTGTTAGACTGGGTTAACCGACAATAAAGCGGCAATATGTTCTAAACAAGGTCAATTAGCCTACAGCAATCATGACCTAATAAGTATATATATCTCGACCTACATGTTATATCGTTTCTACATATAACGTAAAGAAAGTTGACTGCTGATAGTGTACATTAATACAAAGGTTTTAAAGTATTCTAAATGTATAAATAAATTAGATAAAACAATTATATATGACTCTTAAGATAATTCGGTAACATGTATCATGCCAATTAAGCTTTAAACATCATTACTTATTTACCCAACATACATGTGTATAAAAAGATAATGCATTTGGTGACTTGTACGTTTAAATAGAAGACAGAATTTTACAAAGTGTATTATTTGACGAGATTCACTGCGATTACCTGTATGCTTAGTCATACAGGTATCATATGATCTAAATGTTGTTGTTAACTTAAATCAAGTATTATAATAGAATAAGCTCAACCTGGCAGCAGGTGTTGCGGTCAGAACTTACCGGAGGCGAGGGATTGTTCACTCGAGGCATCTTCGTCAGCCATTATCCCAAAATAACTGGAAAAATTCACAATAACTAAACTGTTAATCCAAATAGTTGATACATTTTAAATCCAGTGTTCATGATACACCGAATGACTGCGTTGTAGCTATACACACAGTGAACTAGTTTTCCATTGATCAAATATCACGTGGTACAATACTAAAGCTATATAGTATAGATTTATGCGACTGTTACCTGCGGGCTTTTGCCTTATCGGACAAATTATTCGACAAGATTGCCAGCTTGATTTCATTTACAGTATTGTTTATGATTATGAACATAAATGTTCTTGTTATATTATATTTGCCCTAAAACGTTTTTGTTCCCCGGCGTTTTAAGCAGATATAATACGCATGTAAGAGAAATAAAAGCAACTTCGTGAGGAAAAAAACAAACAAAAAACAATAAATTAACACAAAAACACCTTAATATAATCAAGTCAATCAGAACTTCCAATCGTTCAACATGACTTATATTTCACATTGTATATGTAAGATAAATCAATCAATTCCAACAGCCTATCGCGTTCAGATCAGTGGAAGTGGCAGATACCCAAAATAAGGGTTGGATTTCACAGCGCACCAACACAGTAAAAGATCATATGGCGACTTTTCAGCTTTATCTAGTGGAGCCCCTCCATGCATTATTTCAGGCACGAACGGGCACCTGAATAGAACCATCCAAGTTCCGTAAGCTCGCTGGATATAACATGTCAATAATATATTATATAATCCTGGGACGAACACTTTTGTTTTCCAGTATAATCGTATTGATGATAAGTGGAAGTTCTATAAATATATTCATCATTTTTGTAAACAAACAGATAATCTTAAGTCAGGTTGTTGTGTATCTGAAAGATATTTTAAGTGTACGAATCTACATAAGAGTGTTATTGCAAAAAAGGGACAAAAACATGTTTCTTCTAAATTCAGCAAATACACAAAATTAAAGGGGAAGTCTTTCGAATCCCATGGTCAAAAAAGAGAAGAAGTATATAACAAACAGAATTTTTTTCCTATACACACAGGTTTATTTTCATTTCGTGATATAAAATTGATATAATTGATATTGCAGTAAAATTTGACCCAAAAATAGTTATGGATATCTCCACCCTTTCTTTGGTGGTAGGACCACGGATTTATATTAAATCCGTGGTAGGACGTACGGCACTTTAATGTTTGTAAACCTTTGAGCATATCAAGACTATTCAAGGGATCTACTTCATCGTTATTTCGACTGTATTTCCGATGTAATGGAAGAAATCATCAGATACAAAATGTATACTTAAATGCAGACGGATATCATCTGACGAATTTTGAATTCACTTGACCGGTTATTTTCATTTATTTCCTCAACTTAGATACAGACGACTTTAACAATGGTATTAAACATTTATTCTTAATCACAATCAAACTACATGTATAGTAGCAGATAAAAGTATTTTTTAAGTTTTGCATGTGTTAATTCATTTATTTACAGATTTTGCTCCAGTCATTTCCTCATAACAAAGAACATAATAATGACGGAAGATAATGCATATAACACATCAAAGTCTCCACGATAAACAAGGAAGGGTCAGGTTGTTTATACCGAACAGAGCTGAATTGTAAAAATAAATCTTTATGGAAAGTGTCAGTAATTTGAAAAAAAAATGTGTTTTCGCCAGATAAAAATCTTACCCCTATAAAAGACTTCGGGTTACGGTGTCGGGTGATATGTCCTGAACTTCATTTTTGAACATTCGATCTTGAAAGTTAATGTAGGCCTCTTTTACAGAGAATTTTATGCTATAAAATCTCAGAATTTTATGCTATAAAATCTGACTCTGACAGGAAAATTATGCTACAAAATTTGACATTGACAGGGAAACTATGCTACAAAATCTGACCTTGACAGGGAAATTATTCTACAAAATCTAACCTTGACAGGGAAATTATGCTACAAAATCCGATCTTGACAGGGAAATTATGCAACAAAATATGACACTGACACAGAAATTATGCTACAAAATCTGACACTGCGTGGAAATAATTCTACAAAATCTTAAAATCTGATTTTAACACGTAAATTGTGCTACAAAATCTGATCTGAACACGGAAATTATGCTACAAAATCTGACGGGACACGAAAATTATGCTACACAGACTTTAATGTATGTTATATTTAAAAAAGACAAGATAAAATTTAGACAAGATTTCCTCACATAAATGTAATCAAAATATGCAATTATTTACATGCACATGACATGTTCATCGATATTACAGCATTTACCCCTGGTCATAAGACTGACATATATATCTAATTGTATATAAAACAAAATCAAAACAAACAAAATGCCTAAAATCATTTTTATATTACTTCAGTTTTTTACAAAAGTAAGCATTTACAAATGTATTACAATTATGGTAAATCACAGAATGAGACGACAGAACTGGTTTTGAAATAAATAATCATAACATCATTATCTACCGACCAGTGAATTGTACAAATGTATATCATTTATACAAAGTAGAATATAAAGACATTAAAATCTTTATATAACAAGATTTGATCACTTTATACAATAAAAGGTTACGGTTTTCTTGAAATACAATTTCATAAACAAACAATTAAAGTCAGAAATCAATAGTTCTTTAATTCTGGTCTGTTGCCTAGAGTAATGTATGAAAAATCTTGGTATAAACAGAATACATTTACGTCAAAGGTCAAGTTTGTCTGCAGGTCAAGTTTGTCTGCAGAAAGACGGAACAATGAACATTATGCCCACTACTGATCTATGCATGTGTAGTACATAGTGTTGAGGGTGTGTGCAAAAAAGCCTTCAACATCATTTAACATCATTTATTTGTAAAATAATTAAGTAACAAAATGTTTTGTCTCCAATTAATATTAAAGTGAATTGGTTTAAAATGGGAGGTCTGTAATACAATGTATAATTATGTTGATAGTATTTAGCATTAGACATAACAAGAAACCATGCCAGAATTCTACATGAAAGTTGTTGGCAAGTCCGATATTACTTATACTTATATAGCAGGTAATAAAATGTTCTAGAACAAAATATTATTATTCATCAGATAAATGGTCATTCTAAATCACTTAGAACTTTATCAACATTTTTTTAAGCAGCATTTAATAAGAATACTCATATGATACATTTCTGTTGTTTTTATGAATATTTGAAATACTATGTGTCCATTGTAGACTTATCAACTTTAATGCATGTACTATTATTAGTTTTCCATCTAAGGCATGAACTCAATTAATGCAAAAATTAATAAAAATCAAATTCAATAAAAATCAAACTCTCAAATAAACCATTGCTGCACATCATTAAAGAAATTTTGTTACCCAAACTATATTAATACACCTCAAAAATTAAAATACTTGTAAATACAAGAAAATCATGACTATTTTACTGATTATGAAATTATAAATTAAATTAACATAAAAATCTAATTAAAGCTCAAATGATTAAGCAAATACTGTTCACACTTATTAATCATAATTAAATAGGTAAAAATGCACAAACATTTAACAAGCATGATTGTTAATGAAAAAAACAAAAACGTGACCCCCATGTCTTCACTGATGTAATATCACCAATAGAACATGAGCATGATGTCTGGGCTGCAGTCTACTGAACATGTGTATTTAATTCATTTCATAATAAACTATACTCAAAGATATTGTTAGCTTTATGACACAAATCTTAAACAGTGTTCATAATATCAGCATAACAGAATCAATTCTATAACTCTATAGTATTGAGATGATTGTTTCATATACAGTTGACTCTCGGTAACTCGAAATCCAAGGGACTGGGCATTTTACTTCGAGAGAAACGGAATTCGAGTAACGTGGAACTACCGCTATTAAGTTGACATTCGTACATGTATATACATGTGCCTGATTGAATGCGCAAAGAAGTAAGTTTGTTATTGTTGTTAGCGACAATGCTGCAATATTTAACCATTGAAATGACGGTAAATCACTCACAACTACAAATTATAAATTCAAATTTTAATACATGTATATCAATAGTGAAATAAAACACACAATTATATTTGATTTAATTGATCATCGGACAAAAACGAAATTAGCAACTATCGTGAACCAGAAGTACACATTAATGTATGCAATATGGCGGAACATTAATTATACAAACGTCATTTACGTTGATACCTAGACTGTTATTTGACTAACCCCCGTCAGACTTGCATGAGTAAACTTTCTTAAAGAAATGTAATCAAATTTTAAATTAATTATCTAACTGATAAAACCATTAAATTCTAAGTCCTGAAACGGATTTAAGTCACTTTTACAACATGTTAATAATACATGATGACCGGCAATTAAAAATAACTATGAAACGTGTAAATCACGAGTGACAACATCTCACCTTGATGTCGCCGACCTTTGATCAGTCGTCTGTTTTCACACTTCGACTAATTGAGATGAAAATATGTTGGACTTTAATTGACGGGACCAAAGTTTCTTTTCGACTAAACAGGAGTCTCGGTAAGTCAAAATTTGACCTATGCGGAGTTAAAATACAAAGATAAAGAAGGAAATTTGACGGGACTTTAGAAATTATTCGACTAAGGCGGTATTTTGAGTAAAGCGATTTTGACTTATTGAGAGTCAACTGTATATCCAAAATAAAACTTGGGTAATAGAAAATTACAATTATTGTCCAGCACTAAATCTGTGTACACTAAAATGTCATGAACATTTCATTGGGACAGCTAAGTCTCCTTGATTAAAATGTTTAGTGAAGCTCAAACTTATTCATCCTGCTTAACAACAGCAAATCAATCCATATTAATAAATATACTTCTACTCCAAATATGTACAAATGCATCAGTCTTTATCTACAATACTTCTATATGATAACAAGGACCTTTCACAGGAATCTATACAATATCAATACTTCTAATTATACTTCATCTTTCAGATAGTAAATATCTACACATTCATACTAAACATGTGTCCTCATTTTCAAGTATATCATCAAATTTATAGACCAACTCATTGATCAACAATTATTTCAAGGAGTTAAGGCCTTATAATCTAGAGAGTCTTGTTTCTTTAATGCAGTCTTCTCTGAACTGGTTCCGTCTGGATTATCTCCCTCCTCTACAAACTCTTCACTGCCCATCTCGGCCTCCTCCTGTGTGTTATATTCCTGATCTAGTCGCTGCATCTCCAGACTCTGACTACTGTCTTCACTTCCAGTGTCTTCTAGTCCACCATCAAATACACTTCTAATATAGCCAAATAACTTGAGGGCAGGTTTGTATCTGGATTTAAGCAGCACATTTCTCCTATACTGTTCTATCAGTTTTAGAAGGTCACCTTTAATACAAAATATTCAAATAATACAAGAAACATTTCCACATTGAGAATAATTGTCACTGCAGAAGCAAATTTCAACATCAAAATTATTCTCGCATTAAAGGGAGAAAACACAATAAACTATGTTAACAATGCTACACATAAAACTATCCCAATGGCTTTTCATAAATCACAATACACTGTTCACAATATTATAAGTGAGTTTATTTTGAACATAGTTTGAAGACAAGCTTTGTAAGGAAAACACTAAGTCATATTCAGTAACATCCAATTCAATTAACAGAATCACAAGCCTTATTCCAGTTCAGAATTATTTTGAATGTACATTTAAGGTCTACAGTGAATATAGTCAGACATATGTTTACTTTTTAATTATAACAAATTCTTTCCAACAAGTTCTCTCTCAAAGATATATACACATCATAAATTGTCGACATTGTCATGAGAAGATTAAATACTGACATGTAATGGAAATAAATCACTAGTTATTAAAGATATTCACAGCAGGTCTTTTGATATGATAAGACATAATCTGTTTATTTATTATCCGATATATCACTGATATCAGAGGTTATTTATCAAAATTCATTCCACAACCTGGAACCAACATGATGACCATGACCTTGGTTGTGTGGTCTGCTGCGGGTGTTATGATGACCAGGATAGGTATAGGAGAGCCTACCATGCCCATGTCGAGTTTGGACATGCCCCGGATTATGGGGAACAGTTTTGGATAATTTGTTTCTTCCAGAATTAACACTAAAAATCACTTTAATGTATTCAAAGAGTTCATGTTTAACATATTTCCCAGATGAATGCTTCACTACATCAGAATAGTATAGTCCTAACATTGCCATTATCTCCCCTGAAATGGACCAATGAATACCATCAGGATCTCAGATATTGACTTAATTACTCACTGTAAATTCTGCACTAAATATCATATGATATGAGCCGCGTCATGACAAAACCAACATAATGCATTTGCGACCAGCATGGATCCAGAACAGCCTGTGCCGATGCGCAGGCTGGTTTGGATCCATGCTGCTCGCAAACCCATTACGTTGGTTTTATCATGACACGGCTCATATAATCCTTAATAAATCACCAACAAAGTTAAACTTTAATATAACAGAAGCTGGAAATTTCTTCATTGAAAGCATGGTTATAGAAAAATGCTTAACAAAAAGCAAATGCAACAGACGTCAGTTACCTACATCAATATGTCAAGTGAATTTATTTCAGTATTCTAAAATGAAAGAAACATACAACATAAATGTTTCTTTGAAAAAAAAAAAGGATTTAGTACTGCAAAAATGGTTCAAAGATGAAGATTCTTACTTCAAAATTTTCTTTTTTATCCTTATTAAAATTTAATTCTCAATGACATTTTTCAAGAAATACTGTTGGCATTTTGACAAGTTTTAATTATTACAAGTTTAGCACAACTTTCATTAAACAAACATTAACATGCAAGATGAAAGAGACACATAGACTAGAAATAGACTAGTATATCTAATACATAAGCTTTATTTTATTTACTATATGAGGAAAAGTTTACCTATTCTGAGCATGTTATCTGATGTAAGGTATTTATGAATAGCAAAAATCTGGTCCCTCAAACCCTCGTCATCAAACGTGAAGTAACACAGGTCACGACCCGCTTTAGCTGCTGCCATTAACTGGATTAAAGCTATAATTAAACAATAAATTTTATCCTTTATTTTACTGATTTATTTATACCAAACACATGCACTTATTTTCTAAAATGTGGATTTCTTCCATCTCAATTAAATAGATTACCAGACTTAAAATTAATTTATGAATAATACAAGCAATTCAGCAGTCAAACATTATAAAATATTATATAGAGAAAATTTACCTTTTAATTGTTTGTCTCCCCCAAATGCACCACATCCCCAGTTACCAGTACATACTGCAGGTAATGTATCAGTTGTCTTCTTACCAAGATAGGCAAACCCACAATATGCCTACAATATGTATTCTTGTTAATGAGCACTTCAAGTATAGAATGTGTCACGGTTGTCAATTAAAATTTTGAATGTCAAATAGTATAGCAATATTAAGCTATAAAGCTACATGTTTGTATATAAAGTCAATTAAGGAACTGTAAAACTGGCTCCTCTGTTATGTGTGGTAATCGTAAAGAATAATTTGTGCAATAATTTTTAGTCTTGTCACTTATACACTATTCAAATATGATTAAATTAAATATGAATTTCTTACTTTGAGGCAAAACAAAAACCAATAAAAAACAAACCTAACAATTGTTTAGTTTATCTAGAAATAGTGGACTTTAAATATCACTATTTCATTTACCCAACATGCCTTATATCAATGAAGTTACCTTGTTTAACTCTCTCTTCACTGTTGCTACTTGAAACTGAGATCTGAAGTCATGTATAACAAGAGCATCTATTGCTGTTACTTCACATTTAATTCTTCCCCATGAATCTCTGTAACATGTACAGTATCAGGTCAACACAAAATGTAGCAAATTTTCAACATAACCAATAATATATAAAATGCCAGGACCAAATTTAAAATCTTATAAACATTTACATGTAAATATATTTAATAATTATAGATGTGTTACATTGAATATAAAATAAGAAAAGTCAGATTTATACCTAGGAGTTGTGTCAATATAATTTTCCTTCCATTCAAACTTTGCAGCATAACCATCATAGTTACTGAATCGTTCACAGCCTGTAACAATACCAAACTGTCAAGTCAGATTCTACTTATAATTATATCACCATAATTCATCCAAAACATATCCAACCTATTATACTCATATCATCATATTCTACCTATCATAATGATATCATCATATTCTACCTATCAAAGATATATCACAATATTCTACTCTTAGAGTGATATCATCATATTTTACCTATCAAAGTGATAGCACAATATTATAAATATTATAATGATATCATATCCTACCTATCATAATGATATCATCATATTCTACCTATCAAAGATATATCACAATACTCTACCTCTTAGAGTGATATCATCATATTCTACTTATCATACTGATATCATCATATTTTACCTATTAAAGATATATCATCATATTCTACCTATTTTATTGAGATTATTTCTAACCCTTCATACATTCATATATTATCAAATTTAACAGTTAATATCTTTACTGGTTTTACAGGAAATGCAATTTTTATGACTCTTTCTAGGCAAACAAGTAAAAAGTTTATACTAGTTTTGTTTCTACTGAGCCTTTTATCCTGACGATTTTAAAGAAAAATAATTGGGAAACGACTATGTTTGGTGGCTGTATAAATAGAATTTGGAGTTACCTCTCATTAAAAGACATTCATTCTTGTTAAGACATTCAGTAAACAGTCGTGATACAATCATCTCTGGACAAATCAAGAACCGTATTTCCTCCTGAACGCAACCATTCCCTAATACCCCACCTCCTAGATACATGTTGGCAAAGTCAGCCTGAAATAAGTCACAAATTGTACAGTAATAATTTCCTAGTCATGTATTGTCTGAAATATGATTATGAAATTATATATATAAGTATCTATATAATCAAATATATGTACGCTTTGGTGAAAACTACTGTTCTAAATGCTAAGAAATTCTTAAACTAATAGTTGCTGAAACAAAATGCAGGATCCATACATATATTAGTTCCAGTAATGCTCCAAAATTTTTCATTTCAGATACCTGTGAAATACCTGTAAAAAATTATGATTATTTGTACTAGCTATGTACCTGTAGCAGTCCCAAACCATCATCCTCTATAGTTCCCTCAGATGATACATGTAAACCCCGCAACGGTGTGTCATCATTCTCCCAGTTTGGCATCTTATCTTGTGGAATACACTGTCTTGTAAATGTAACAGTTCCACATGGCACTAAAGACAGAGAAATTTTCAATCTTTATTTATAACTAAATATTTTTTATTGTATTCTATTTCTAAATAATTTTAAGCTATCGCATAGTAAGAAATTTGTGTATTACACATCTTTTTTTTGTAGTCATTTCTGATTATCTACATTGAAAACTCCTCTACTTACTTTATCAATTAATTTTAGAATGACTGCATTTAAGAAAGAAAATAATGTGCATGTATACTAGAAAACTACAAGAAACCAACTTAAAATTCAATTTAAAATAAAGTAAATCTAACTGATACATGCTTGAAACTTAAATATTAAATCCTTTGACACCACTGCAATACCCAGCAAGCCTGCACGTACGACAGTGCAGTCTGACCAGGCTTTAAGTAATTGTTACCTGACCAACATTTATCTTTCTCTGTTTTAAAATTCTAAAATGAATTTTAACTCAATTTAAATAGTTCCAATTTAAATGATGATAAAAAATTACTGAAAAAAGTAATTACAGGAATCAAAACTACAGATTAAACATACTTTTCTTAAAAATTCTGTTGAAGTAATGGATAATACATCTTAATTTTTCAAACTTGACATAGGATGGCTGGCCCATAAATAATCTGAAATATAAACCATATTTTCATTTATAATAAATTATATGATTACAAAAGCTCTTCAAGTCAAAGCATTATACATGTACAATGTATGCCCTAAGTTTGTGCTGTCATAGTAACCTTTAATTAGTGGTCACATAATGGCCATATGTGCCCATACAAACTTGTTCCTTCATAACTTATTGAACACACTTAACACTAAGTATATATATTACAAATCTACATACAAACTATTTCATTCATAAAATACTTCTTAAAAGAATACCAACAAAATAATCAATTCAATTTTCATTTAGTTATAACTCCGTAACTGCTAGAGGTATAATGCCATGCCTATGTCTCCATTGTAGAATCAGATCAGACTGTACATGTCAGCATACTGACCCTACTCTAACATTGCTGGCTGTTTATCTTTAATATTCTCATTTAAGTATAAACCCTCAAAATATCAATAGAAAAAGAAAGGGAAGTCCATGTCACAAATTTGGTAAGGTAAAGAATAAATAGAATTTATACTAACGAGTTGAAGTTGATGTTTGGATATCTAATATATTCGGATGTTCTAGATTTAGCATTTCGTCTTGGGAAAGTACAGAAGAATGCATTGGCTAGGAGACAGGCTATCTGCTGTTGACTCAAAGTAACACTAAAATTTCTGTTACATTTCAACAAAGGAATAGGCTGAAGGTAAAACAAAAACATCATTTAAACTAAAATCACACAAGTGTAACATATTACACATTTAAATTTGATTTTCAACTATTTATAAGTATAAATTCTTACAAATTTTATTATAATATATCATAGAAAATCAACAAATTTATAGTACCTATACTCAGCATTATGAAAATAAAACAAACAAAAAAGTATTCACATTACACATTTGATGGATAATTCATCATAACAGCCAAAATACTGATAATTATTTAATTTTACCCATAAAATACAGTGCTATATCAGTCAAATATATTTCATATTTTTTAAAAATAAATATGAAATATAAATATGAAAGTGGGTGGAGTCAAAACTCATATTTATTTTAAGGGACTTCTTTCGCCATTTTGTTTGAAAAATCTGATAAATACAAAACAACTTTTTTGTTGAATTTGGCTTTGAAAACTATTTAGTATGATAGAAAATGATCTAACTAAGAAAATAAATCCGAACACCAATATCTTTAATTCAGTTATTTACGCTTTACAGACGTTTAAAGAGTTGTTTACGTGACATCACAATGTAGCGCCAAATATCGCGTGCAAAAATAAGACGCAATAATATATTTCTGCTCGCTGTACAAATGCAGCTGCGTAGCAAGCAATGGGGTTCGTAACCATTTTTCTTTGATAGTGAAATTAAATAAAAAGGTTATTTTTTCGTTTTTCGTGAAATATGGTAAATTTTTTCACTCAACATGATAAAATGCCACATATTTTCACTCACCGTCCCGGCTCGTGAAAATATGTGGCATTTTATCATGTTGAGTGAAAATATATTCCATATTGCACCCAAATGAAAAAGTATCCTCTTATTATTTATGATATGGTTATTATCATTGAAGAAACTATTTTTACAAAATTGACATCATATTCTACATTATTTACTTACAGAGGGGTTTATTAGTCTTTTGTAATATGAAATTAAGCATGGTAAAATGTAATTTAAAACAAAATTGCGATATTGTAGGAGTTTATAAGATGAACATTATGTTAAGAACTTACTGCTGTACATAAATGGGGTAACTGTAAAGCTAATGTTGCCATCTTCTTCAATGTATCATTAAAGAAATGATTTCTTTCAGCATTATCTATATTCTGAAACAAAAACCAAACATATATTTCTTGTACAGTAATTCTTCATGCTACACTATATGTAAGATTATGCATTTACAAAACACACTTTCATTGAGTACATGATATTGATAGTGAAAAAAGGGTATAAGTTTACCATTCAAAAAATAATATTAGTGAAACCTGTCCATGTAAACTGGTTTAAATAGAAAGCAAGTACACACATGTATTCCAGTTGCAATGATATAAAAGGAATAAAGTAATAACTAACATGGACATATGGCATTAGTTTCACATTACTCTACTTCAAAAAGTAAAGCTAGCTATTGAAATATAATTTTGGTGTAGAGGAAATGGAATGCTCCTTTTCTTATCATTAAACGCTTTATTCATACAAGAACAAAGACTCCAGCAGGTATGGTTGAATTCATGGTCAGACACTGTACTGTTGGCTTCTAAATGTTAGTATTTTGATATTTGTATCCCTTTCACATGCAATAGTCAATTCCAACTTCAAAACAATTCAATAACAAGATTTTAGTATGCAAAAATCAAATATATTTCAGCAAAATGACTTATATAACATAACGAAATTATACAAAGGTAGCTACTTCATCACATTTCAAAAATGTAACCACATTAAATCACTCACCTCAACAAAGAAAGAATGGAGAACATTAAAATTCCACTTTCCAAAATATCTAGAATTGTATGAGAGAATTTTCTCCTCTAGTTCATATGGTCCAGGAATATCAGCCAGCAATGCCTCCTGTATCATATCCCATCGACGTAAAACTTTTGGACCCCCATCCTGTAAAATTTAAAATCTCACAAATAGAAAGATCCTTCCAGACCAATGTCAACAACAAAGTACTGCATGTGGTATTAACACTCTTTTGTTAAGGGTAATGACTATCAATGACCAAATTTTTTATTTCTTCTAAATTAAAAAGGGTCATAACTCCTACAAATATTGCATTCAGGAAAATGTCCCTTGTCATACAAATGTGCTTTGTCATGATAATCAAGTATTCAAAGTTTCATGATATCTTTCATAGCTTTAAAATCATTCTTTATAAGCAATTTTGACAAAAATTCTAAGTTAAAAGGGGCATAACTCTGAATGAAAATATAGATGTCAGATTAAAGTCCCTTGTTAAGCAACTGTGCCTTTTTATGATGATCAAGTATTCAAAGTTTTGTGATATCTTTCATAGTTTTGAAATCATTCTATTCAACATGTTCAATAAGCAGTTTTGACATAAATTCTTAGCTTTAAAAGATAATTGAATAATTTTAGAATCAGTGATCAATTTATAATTTTGGTTTACGGTGTAGATGCTGTAATAACGCTCTAGGTAACAGTTGCCTGATACATAATTCATATTCATAATTGTGATAGAATTCTATAATTTTATTAAATTAGTTAAACATATTAGTTACCTCTCACACATTCTAACAAATTAATGTTCTCTAGAACACCATTAATATACTGTATCTGTTTAAACAGTACTTACCTTCCCAGTAGTTGGATATTCACTAAGGTTAGAACAAGGCATTCTCACATAGTTAGTATCCCATTTATCTTTGTAAGTTGGGAAAGGAGTAGGTGGCTTTACACCATCATATTTAAACTGGAATGGAAAATGATCATTACAATCAATTGAGTCGCATCACGACAAAACCAAGATAGTGCGTTTGCGACCAGCATGGATCCAGACCCGGGCAGTCTGATCAGGATCCATGCTGGTCGCTGTCAGTTTCTCCACTTGTAATAGAGTTGGTAAGCGAATAGCATGGATCCTTATCAGACTGCGCAGATGTGCAAGCTGGTTTGGATCCATGCTGGTCACAAATCCACTATGTTGGTTTTGTCGTGATGCGGCTCAATTATAGGTACTTGTTCTCATAAAATTATTGAACTTTTTAGTGAGAAAAGATTTTTTTCCAGCAACTTTATCCTGTATATATATCTTATTGACAAGATATACTGTAACCATGGCTTAAACAAGGCTTGTAAAAAAACTCAAATATTTTGTGCTCTAAAAGTTCAAACTATACACCTAAAATATCGTTAAACGGCAGATTATGTTTAAACATTAAACACATATATCAAATACACATATTTTATCACATGCCCCTGCCACTTTTGCGACTCCATAAAAATGGTATTGCACGACTGTGCATATATTTTAACATGATGTCATTTGTGTTATATAAGCATAGCTTAAGACATGCTAAATGTTATAAATGTGTCATTGAAAATTCAAATAATTTATTTTGGGTATGTGATAAATAGAATATTATGTTAAACTAAGTCAATTACTGAATTTATTGAACTCGTTGAATAAAATAATATTATGCTCGCCAGAGGCTCACATAATATAATTTTTTTCAACTCGTGTTATAAATTCTTGTTTTGAGTTACCAACGTCCCCCGCCTCGGGTAAGTTTTATATGAAGCATAAGCTTGTGCTATTTCAAAAGATTGAGGTATGGATCTAAGGACTTAATGTCCAAAATTATGATCAATGCTAGATCTGCAAATGCAACAATAAATTCATTAAAGAAATAAAATGAAACACGGAATTTAAAAATCTATCATGTTAAGCTTTGACCTCTAAGTGTGACCTTGACCTTGGAGGTAGGGGTGTAGGTGTTAAGCATGACACATCGTCTTATTATTGTAACTATTTGTGCCAAGTATTTTCAAAATCCCTTGAACTATGAAGAAGTTATAGATCAGACACCCATCAAATATACCCTATAACAGACTATGTTAATCTTTGATCTCTTAGTGTGACCTTGCAGGTAGAGACCCATGTTTTGCCCCTGACATATAGTCTTATTATTGTGATTATTTGTGCAAAGTATTTTTAAAATCCCTTGATGAAAAAGTTATGGACAGGAAAGAAAATATACCAAATAACAGACTCTGTTAACCTTTGACCTCTAAATGTAACCTTGACCTTGGAGGTAGGGGTGCAAGTGTTGTATTTGACATATTGTCGTATTATTGTGCTTATTTGTGCCTAGTTATTTCAAAATCCCAAAGAAGTTCTAGATCGGATACAAAATATACCCTAAAAGAGACTATGTTGTTTTTACCTCAAAGTGTGACCTTGAACCTGGAGGTAGGGTTGCAGGTGTTGTGCATGACACATTGTCTTATTATAGTGACTATTTGTGGCAAGTACATGTTGTGTATTTACAAAATCCTTTGATCTATGAAAAAGTTATGGACCAGACACAAAATATACCCTGTAACAGACCATGTTAATCTTTGACCTCCAAGTGTGACCTTGACCTTAGAGGTAGGTGCCCATTTGTGTGCATGACATATCGTCTTATTATTGTGAACAATTGTGGTAAGTATTTACAAAATCCCTTCAAAGATAAGAAAGTCAAGGACCGGACACGACATATACCCTCAAATAGACAATGTTGACCTTGAATGAGCAAGTGCGACCTTGACCCTGGAGGTAGGGGTCTGGTTTTGCGCATGACACATTGTCTTATTATAAAAAACATTTGTGTCAAGTTATTTCAGATTCCTTTGATAAATGACAAAGTTATGGACCGGACACAAAAGTGTGACGGACGGACGGACAGACGGACAGAGCCTATTTCTATATCCCCCTTTTTTCTTCGAAAAGGTGGGGGACAAAAAGAGGCATAAAAATTCAAATATGCCTCATAAATTTTCCAATAGTTTAAAAAAACTTGATGTAGCACATATTTAAAGTAATGTACAAGAACTGTTTTCTTACAGGTGTTTTAAAGAGCACCCTGTGGTTGTCTGTGCCATGTAGTGGTCCCAGATTCTCATCCATATCAGTTAACTTGTCCAGAATTTTTAAAGGAATTCCCTGCAAGAGTTATCCCAGTTATAACATACATCTTCATCAAACATCACAGCAAAACAATACAAATGTACATTCATATCTTCCTTATTTTGAGTTTTCCTGTTTCAAGCACTTGATTAATGAGAAGTTATCATAACTTTTGATTGTATCCGTACTACATGATTATCCTACTTTTGACATGCAATGTAATATGTTTCAATGAATTACAAGTACAACAGTAAATCTCTTTCAGTTAAATATTGTTATCAGTAAAGTAACAAGTACATTTTATAAAAATACTTAAAATAAGATATCACACTTTATCTCATTTGAGGAAAGAAAATCTGAAAAAATTTCAATACAGTAATACAAGTCATTCAATATTTACAAAGACTCAAAAAGAGACACATCTATTGATTATAAAGTAGAGTGTCATGATGGGCCTTTTAAAAGTACATGATTAGAACAACCTTGGTAGAGCTTTATTCACCAGACAACTAGATTATATAATTGATATACAACAAGATTTTTAACTTTTTCCTACCTCTAGTCAAAGGTGATATGATGATGTTCCAGGTTTTCTGGTGGAGGAAGACACAAGTGCCTCATTATGCATTATTTCAGGCACAAGCAGCAACCGAGTAGAACCACCATCATTACATATGCTAATTCAGCCTAATTGGATATGATCTTTTCATGTAAGAAAATGAAGTACAATGCAACCAAGAGTACTACCTGGAGTAGTGAGATAAACAAGTCTGAAGAAGGTACACTATACAATGCTTCATTTCTATTCTATTTTATTTCAGTTCCTGTGATCCAGATATACAACAGACTAGAAATATTCACCTCAAGTATCATCCCATTTAACCTGATGATTTCTGTGGAGTGTTATTATGACTGAATGACTGACAATAACTATAACTTACCTTCCATGCCTGACTACCAGCTTTACATTGGCTTGGTTTTTTAGTTGGAATATCCTTCAGTGTGCTATATTAAGATATATTGACATAATCTATTAACGGTCTTGTATAAGTTCAAAAACTAAAAATACTAATGTTAAAACTTTAAAAAAAATATTAATAAAGAAATCAAGGTCATATTTTAATATGTCACAATGCAGTTTTTGGCAAGATGTATGCTATATGTATGCTATATGAATGCCTTAATATGTAAAGGTCAATATAAACTAAGTAACCCCTTGGACAGGCCAATATTTACCCCATAGGTATGATTTATAAAACTTTTGACCAACATCTTTAATATATGAAACTAATACAATCGAAGATATCTCCAATCACATCATTCTACTGACACAATTTTGTAAAAAACAATCAACATGTCTACCCCATGAGATAAAACAAACACACATATTATACAAAATCAGTTTCATGCGATCAAATATAAATAAAAGTCAAAGGGCCATAATAATCATAATAATTGTATTAATACTCATCTACATGCTTATACAGTATGGATAATTTCTACCTGCAAATTCTTAATTAAAGTCACAACAGCCATGACTTCTGTATGAAAGGGAAGAATTCAAATATTTTGCTCTATGCAAATCTTCATTCTAGTACAATGTATATAACCTTTCAAGGAAATCCACCAAGAACTGTATGAGGTGGAGTAATCACCAAAATTGTACCCAATTTGTTTTAAAGAAAAGAAAAGTAAAAGGGTGATAACTTCTGTATGAAAGGGAGCAATTCACAAATGATTGCACAATTACATGCTAGTACAAACAGTTAACATAGGTTTTAAGGAAATCCATCAAGTGAATAAGGGGGTTTCATTCACATGATTTTATAGGTGTGGACATACTAGTCATAGGACAAGCTGAAACAAGTATACACCCTTGAAACTTTGTTTGTAGGGGTATGATAACATATCAAACAACATAATGAATTTCTTACTCTTCAGAATCAAAGTCATTTATAACAATTGTTTCCTCTACATGTGTATCAGCAGCTGATGTACCTGGTACCTCATCATCTGTAACTAAAATTAAATCAAGACTTTATTCAAAGTAAAACAAAGGTGCCATTGTCAAAAATATATATATATGTTTGCTCATCGTTCCAGGATTTTGCATCACATGCCAAACAAATGCTTTGGACAACTTTTTCCTCATTAACCTCCAGGTATGACCTTCACCTATCAACCTTTTTCAAACATGCATCAGTATGTCTAATGATGGTGAACATTTGTATTAGGTAATGCTGAAATCCCTCTATGCATGTAAAAGATATACCCCAGAAAAAAGCTGGACATTCAATACTCTCCAGTGACTGACTTTGCACATATGGACATGGATTTCCCTGTATAAACACTCACTCTCTTGACCGTGTACATTTTAGTAAGAATCCCTCAAATCCCACAATTCATGAAAACTAAATGGTCCTATGTATCACTTGTATCAGTCAAGTAACACCAAATCCCTTTATGCATATGAAAGAAATGCTTTGGACAAGAAATGATGCTGCTTGCCTGCCATGGCTATTCCAGAAATGTGAACTGTTTTTTCAAATAGGCAAATAAAAAGGGAAATAACATTACAATTACGTAATTTAACCTAGGTCATAGTCTACAAATTACAATATATGTATAAGATGAAGCCATTGATACAGATGTAAAATATATCAAACTTACCGGATAGGTTAACCATATAAATTGTACATTTTTTCAATTTGCTAAAAAAGGGAAATTACAGAAAGAAAACTGATTTCAAAGTTATGTCACTTGCAAATATATTGATGTATATAGTATAAAGCAATTGGTGCAGGTTAAAATCTAAGGATACAACTTGCAAGACTTGAAAGACTATACAATTACCTACCTTTTGTTTTTGCTCCACTGGAACTGAAACAGAAAAAAACCCATATAATTTGAAGTGAATTAGTCTATAATTAAAGGTCTGTAATACAATGAATAATTATGTTGATAGCAGACATAACTAGAACTATCGCTGAATGCGATTCATACCCCCACCAATGTCCTTGACAGAAGACGACTTGGAAAGGTGGTTAAGAGAATAACTTTAGTGGCACAAATACATATACATAAAAAGAAATTATCTCTGGTGAAAAAAAGACTAATTGTACAGGTATTAGTATAAATATATATTGTCAAATCATGTTCGAAACAGTTACAAATAACCTTTCATTTTCCCAATGTACTAGACATTTTCTAAGTCAATTTTTGACCTTCAAGTGTGGCCTTGACCTTAAGCTGGTACAAGGGTAAGATGGGTTCTGCACATAGCCCAGTTGGGGTGAACATTTGAGTAAAGTTTGAAGAAAATCCTTCCATTAGTATAGAATTTACAGAGCGGACATAACATATTGTCTAGTATTGATTGTATGTAAATCTAAAGACTTAAAAAGGGGCATAACTTTGTCAAAATGCAATACAGAGTTATTGAACTTGACCTGCATATCTTATTTGTGACACCTCATATATCTTTTAAGTTTCAAGCAAATACCTGTGCTACTTTCAGAAATATTCAAGTACATGTTAAAATTTAAGAACATTTTCTAAGTCAATTTTTGACCTTCAAGTGTGACCTTGATCTTTAGTCGGCACAAAGGTAACATGGATACTGCACATAACCTTGTTGAGGTGAACATTTGAGTAAAGTTTGAAGAAAATTCTTCCATTAGTATAGGATTTATAGAGCGGACAAGACATATTGTCTAATATTTGGTTAATGTAAATTTGAAGACTTAAAAAGGGGCATAACTTTGTTAAAATGCAATACAGAGTTATGAAACTTGACCTGCATATCTTAATTGTGACACTTAATATATATTTTAAGTTTCAAGCAAATACCTTTTCTAGTTTCAGAAATATTCAAATACATGTTAAAATTTAAGAACATTTTCTAAGTCAATTTTTGACCTTCAAGTGTGACCTTGACCTTAAGCCGGCAAAAGGGTAACATGGGTTCTGCACATGACCTTGTTGAGGTGAACATTTGAGCCAAGATTGAAGAAAATCTTTCAATTAGTGTAGGACTTACAGAGCGGACACGACATACTGTCTAATATTTGATTGTTTGATATTTGACCTTCAATTGTGACCTTGACCTTGAGCTGACACATGGGCAACATGGGTTCTGCACATCCCCTTGTTGAGGTGAACATTTGAGCCAAGTTTGAAGAAAATCTTTCAATTAGTGTAGGACTTACAGAGCGGACACGACATACTGTCTAATATTTGATTGTTTGATATTTGACCTTCAATTGTGACCTTGAGCTGACACATGGGCAACATGGGTTCTGCACATCCCCTTGTTGAGGTGAACATTTGAGCCAAGTTTGAAGAAAATCTTTCAATTAGTGTAGGACTTACAGAGCGGACACGACATACTGTCTAATATTTGATTGTTTGATATTTGACCTTCAATTGTGACCTTGAGCTGACACATGGGCAACATGGGTTCTGCACATCCCCTTGTTGAGGTGAACATTTGAGCCAAGTTTGAAGAAAATCCTTCAATTGGTATAGGATTTATAGAGCGGACATGAAAATGGAGACGGACCGACGGACGGACGGACCGACGGATGGACGCGACAAAGCGAATCCATTATAGCCCCCCCCCCACATTTTGTGGTGGGGGTATAACAACAAAAAAACACAAAAAATTATGGCAAGTGTAAGATACAAGAACCAAAATATTTATGTAACAGATAATTAAATTAAGTATTCTACAACAAATTACTATTATTCATTACATAAATGGCCATTCTAAATCACTTAAAACTTTATCAACATTTTTTGCAAGCAGTATTCTATATACAATAATCAAAATCCAAATGATTCATTTCTAGTATTTTTATCAACATTTGAAATACTATTGGAAAATGTGCCCATTGTAGTTCTATCCACTTTAAATCATGCATACTTTCGTGACAAACAAAATATACTTAATGTAAAATTGTACATAATGGCTATAATGTCTAAATAACTAAGAAAATGTCATTGAATAAACAAAGAGTAAATCTTTTTTGATTATATTTTTGGTATGAACAAAGAATGTAATCTGCTACATGATGATATAGAATTTTGAAAGTGATTTTGACAACAAATAAAAATAATAATAATAATAAAAATAATACATTTATTACATGCTTTTCGGTGGTTTATAGAAATATATCAGTGATACAAAACTGGTAATTTCACTGTTTGAAACAGTGAAATTACCACTTTGATAATTTCACTGTTTTGAATTTAAGCCCCTTACGTTGTTTCAGTGAAATACCAGCGTGCACAGTACTGGGTACCAACTTAATGACGTGACGTCGTAAATGACGTCACCTTATATTATTATTTGGCGCGCTTTTCATTCAGTATTATGTTTAATTTCTTTTTAAAACGTTTCTTTGCATGTAATAAAAAGAAAATTTGTTTAGTTTAGTGTAAGATCAAAATATATTTCACCTTGTGAACACCAAAAGTTCATATTTCACCTGTGGCTGCGCCACTCGTGATATATAACTTTTGGTGCTCACTAGGTGAAATATATTCCGATCTTACACTGAACTAAACAAATATCCTCTATGTAATAATAATATTATTTATGTTACCTAGGCCTGTATAACAATTACACTCACCTGTTTTTGTCTACTGCATTGGCTGCACTTGCCATTACATCTACCTTCTTTCCTTCTCCTCGACTTTTTTTATTACCTTTAAAAAAAATTATTACAAAGAAAAATAAATTTAATGCTATAAACAGGTACAATATTGTATAACTAATAAAGTTATTAAATAACAAGAGCATTAAATGTGATGTTAATGCTAGTCTAATGAGGGCAATAACCAATTTTGAAAAAAATTCAGAGTTAAAAAGGGGCATATATCCAAAAATATAGCTTTCAGAATTATGCCTCATGTCTAACAACTGCACCTTGTTATGGTAAGCAAGTATTCAAAAATGTTGGTAACTTTTAAATGTTTGAATAATGGGCTAAATTAAAGTTTTGCACAAGCATGGCAACAACTACAAAGGATCAATCATAATAGCTGGACTTTTTCTTCAAAACAGACAAGTAACAAAATATAAATTTATATTATAATAAAAGATCATTTTTAAAACTGTTTGTTCGTTTGGGTTTTACATCACATCGACACAGTATAGGTCATATCGCGACGTTCCAGCTTTACTGGTGGAGGAACACCTCAGGTGCCGTTCAGTGCATTATTTCAGGCACGAACAGGCACCTGAGTAGAACCACCGACGTTCTATAAGCTAGCTGGAAAGCTTCCTCACATGAAAGAATCCAAAGTCCCTGTAGGGATTCGAACCCACAGCTGTGAGAGGCAAGTGGTTTGAAGTCAACGACCTTAACCACTCGGCCACGGACGCCCCATTTTTTTAAAACTCATTTACTGAATTGATGTTAGGTGTATTATCTAGAATCAATTTAAAGTAAAATTGTTAATCAATTTCATCCTTAAATGAGTTGAAATTAAAATAAAACAGTGACAATAACACTTGTAGGACTTACAATGTAGCATTGGTCTTATTTCAGTATTTCTGCAATTTAAAAACCTTGAAAAATTATGTAAGTTTTTAACTGATAAAAACACATATCCCAGTATACCTATTAATATACATAATTATTGTTTGTGTTTACTGTTTACTATACTCTTTCATACTTGCCTTTTCCAGAGAAAAAATCAAGAATTGTCCTCTTTTTCTTTAGTGGCGGCTCACTCATTCTAATGATAAATTCTGGAAAAAAAAGTAAACTGATGAAGACGAAATAAGGTAAATAACAAATTTAGAAGTAATATACATATTCATGATTAGCTTTAATAATAAGTAAAGTCTGATGTATAATAAAACATTTACATAACTTACTGGACAAGCATAATTCTCATTAACTATGCATAATTCTCATTAACTTATATCAGTTAAATCATGAGCTAACCAGGAGTGGACATATGTTCTGCACATCACCATGTAAAGGTAAACATTTGAGCCAAATCACATTGAGTTGCTGAACATAATTTTTATGATTTTTGGAAGATCTGAAAATGTTTTATCAATTAATTAAATAAATTTCCTTAGATGCTAAAAAGACATTTCACTGATCCATGGAACCCTCTTGCAACAGGTCGAAATGTTGTGAGATTATGAAATTAAAAAAAAAAAAATTAACATATAGAATTTGTGTACTTGTCTCAGTTTTCAATGCATTATTATTTTATCCAATTTTAGCATATAAGCAAATACTATATAGTGATAATTTTTCATTTTCTTTGCATTCAAGATGGTAGTCCAAATAATTAGCCATGAAAAAGTTAATACATTTTATATTCATCATTGTGACATTTTACCATTTAAATGTATATTATCAAGGCTTTTTTCAACGTCAAAACTAATTGTTTCAAAAAGATGTAGCATAATTCAAATTTATAAAAGTAAAGAATTTCATGTCTAAATAAGTGCAATGCAATGAAAAATATACTTTTATTTCATCACCAAAATAACAGTTTCAAAATCACTTCTATATTGGTCAATATTTGGAACCCTGATTTAAAATTTCATTACTGATGTTTCGATCTTGAAACAATACATGCTGGTGCAATACAATTTATGCATCAGCGCAGGGTTGGCAAAAACCCGGGTTTTATGAGTATTGCCCAGCCCAGCAGGTAATACTGGGAAAACCCGGGTTTTTCTGGGAAATATTGGGCATTTTTGGGTAATAAAAATTTTCTATTACAGCATAATACTATTTATGTTATGTTTTAAATATATAGTGCATTTAGAGATGTATTTTCTGTACAAAGAAAGGTGTATACTGTAAGCAACTTGAAGCGATAATTGTTTGTATAGGCAATATACATTATTAAGAGCTCAAATTGGGGGCTTGCCTAAAATGATTCTTTATATCATTATAATAGCACCAGCAAAAACCGCACATATTGAAGTGAATTTGAGCTAATCTCTGTGTGAAAATTTTTTACAAGTAAAGCAAGTAAAGGTTTCAGTCAAACAAACAAGAAAAGGTGATTTTCTGGAGTAATTGAAAATTTTCATTCTGTATCAAACATAAAACCTATGGACCCCATTTTGAGAATGCCTGCCACTTCAGTTTCCATACAGTGCATATTTTCAAACTTTAGACTTATTTCAAAATAAATTAAGAAACAAACTTGAAATACAACTAGAACTCCGTGAGTCGGATGTGTCGCCTTGTGAACAATATAATTGGGGAGAAATGGCCAGGACAAAATGAAATACAAAAACTAACAAAGGGCAATAGCTAAAAAAATAATAAGTGCAGAGCAGCAGTTTCCATGCATTGCACTTCTTATCAATAAGATCTATCATTCTATGAAGTTTCAAGTCCATATCTTTTATAATTTATGAGAAATGGCCTGGACAAAAATAAAATATGAAAATATATAAAGGGTAATAACTCAAAAATAAGAAATGCAGAGTACCGGTTCTTGTACACTGCACTTTTTCTTAATGAGATCTATCATCCTAAGAAGTTTCATGTCTATAGCTTTCATACTTGAGGAGAAATGACCTGGTTAAAGTAAAGTACGAAAATTAACAAAGGGCAATAACTCAAAAAATAAGAAATGCAGAGTACCGGTTCTTGTGCACTGCACTTCTTCTTAATGAGATCTATCATCCTATGAAGTTTCCAGTCATAGCTTATTATACTTTTTCGGAGAATGGCCTGGACAAAAATATAAGTATGGAAAATTAAGCAATGGGCAATAACTCAAAAATAAAGAAATTGCAGAGTACTGTTCCTGTGCAACTGCATTCTTCTTAAATGAAAGATCTATCACCCTATGAAGTATTCAAGTCCATAGCTGTTATACATTGAGGAGAAATGGCCCCGGACAAAAATAAAGTATGAAAATTAACAAAGGGAAATAAACTCAAAAATTAGGAAATGCAGAGTACCGATTCTGTGTCACTGCAACTTCTTTCTTAATGAGAAATCTATCATCAATATGAAGTTTCATGTCCATAAGCTTTTATAGTTGAAGAGAAATGGTCTGGACAAAATTAAAGTATGAAAATTTAACAAAGGGCAATAACTCAAATAATTAAAGTGCAGAGTACCTGGTCCTATTGTGCACTGCAACTTCATGAATTGAAAAGAAGCATGCATACCAAAGTTTGAAGTCAATCCAAAAAGTGACTAAGTTTATGCTCTGGACAAGCTTTAGGGGACGCCGACACCAGCCGGACAAAAACTAATCCCTAATGGTCGCCCTTTAAGGCGAACAAAAATGTGCCAAGTTAGTTTTCTGCTACAGAATGCTGAGAGGAAAAGGAAGAGATAGAGTGGTGAACTTATCCTTTACTGTAGCCTGATAATGACAATCATAGACAACATTGTTGTTGATGTTCAGAACTTATTTTGTATGAAATGCACTTGTGCTATCTGACATTTCTTACGTCCTAGGTAAGGTGACAAATTTCATTTCAGTTTGCTGCAGCATGTTCATTTTGCATTAATCTTTCATAGGATATTCAATTTCTTTCAAATAATTACTAATTAAATCGTTTAAATGCATTACATCTACAATGTAAATCAATGTCTAATGTCAAATTGTTTGCTATGTACACTCTGTTTAGACCTAACCTAACATGGAAAATGAAAAAATGTAAAATATCAGATAAATGAAGGATACTGTAAAATCATTATTATTCGTGGGGCACGAATTTTTGTGGTTTTCGTGGGTGGGTCAATCCACGAATTTAAGATCCAACAAAATTTTATCCCAACAAATACTTCTTACCCTATCTCTGTTCTATATATTACAAACATGTGTCGGCTCTTTTCCACTCGATTTTCGTGAAATAAATGTATATACATACAGTACAGATAATCAGGTTAGTGACCAATTAAATCCGTTTGCAATATTTAAGAAACTTGAAAAAAAACTCGATTATAATTATGTCCTCAATTTACTGTCACAAATGTCGGTCGCATATATATACACACTTGATCGTTGTTAGAATACTTGACATAATCGAGTAAATACATGTATGGGAACCAAGGCAATCCAATTAATTAGCGCTTATAAAAAAATGTCAGTTTGCTCTTCTTAATAAAAAAAAGTCTTTGATATTAATGTCGACTTTTACTAGATCCACACGTACTTGTGTTATTTACTCAGATTAATTTATATGCATGTAAGTTTACACAGTCGCTGTGACGTTGCGTGTAGTTACTGTCAAATATGGTAAGACCAATACAGGGTGTAAACTTTTTAAACTCGCTGGTTAAAACGTGTTAGGTGTCATATAAATTATGCAATGTTTACATTGGCGAATTACTGGGGCAGTGTGTGTAATAGAGGTTCATATCATGTCACATAAATGTATTAATTGCAGCCAATTATTGGCAGTAACTGTGCTATATTAGAGTTATGCCCAGAGGCAAGGATTAAATTTATTGACAAGCTCTGTGTGACACGTAAAGATATGTACATGCTGTTAGTAAAAATGTTCGGATAACTTTGCATTAGGTTACTAAATATTTTACAAGAAAATGAAAATCCACGAATTTAAGAACCCACGAAAATGCCCGTTTTGATAAAACCACGAAATTTCATGCCCACGAATATAAGTGAATTCGCAGTAAACATAAAATAGGTTACGTAGAGGTCTTATAATAAGGACTATCAAGATGGCAGAACACAGTATCAGAAAATTTAACAAAAATGTGAATGTGTGGGATAATTTAATTGCTGATTTATTAAAAGTATATGACATCATAGTTTCCTCTCGATGTAATATATAAAGCTTCATGAAAACACTGAGTTAGTACAGTGTTTTTTTCTCTACTTTTGGGATGGTGCCGGTACCAGACTGATTGGGAAAAAATGCGTTATTTTAACTTAAATTGGGAATTTTTTTATGCATTTTTTCAGCTACAAATAAGACAGTCATCATGAATAAAGATAGCTAACAGCTTCCACTGTCCTGGTAGAACTATTGAGTGATGGTTTATATGAATATGTTGGACTTAAATGATTTCAGAAAAATCTCTTGGCATTGCGGAAATTTTGAACAGCCATTTTGGGAATTTAAACATTGGAAATTTGGAATTTTAATGTCTATTTTCTATTGGGAACAGTACCGTTTTAGGGTAGTAGTTATATAAAGAAAAAAAACACTGAAGTATAATGACAATTTAAAAAAGCTTCATGAAAACACCGAGTAAGTATGATGACAAATTATTTAAAAAAAGTTAATTAATTAGGTTACTGTACACATTGATGTAGTACTAGTTGTTACTGCCGGGAAGAAGTAATTGCCGTATTTTAAATCGCATTTTTATGTCCGCTTAATTAAAATAAGGAGATTAATTGGAGAACAAAAACAAAACATATCAACAAATCAATCATAACACCATAGTATCCGAATTGAGCTCATCCGAATTTGCACCACAAAATAAATTAAAAATGGATAATTAGTCTCATTTATAGTATCTTCTAAGCAGACCTCTGGTGGTAGTTAATAGCACATCAATGAATGTCTGTATGGAATTCGAATGACAGAAAAACAATCCGTTGGTTTATCTTTTGCACTACTGACTTTCGGTTTGTTTAGTTTCAGTTAAGCTATCGCAACGTACAATGGTATTATTCTGATAAACTATCACCGATCCGGTCTCCGGTCTCTAGAGACAATCTTCGGATGGGAAAAAATTCTGGCCCGGTTTCCGAATAAATCTTTTCGAGGTGAATGATTTAAACGTAATTTTTTGTGGACATTATCCCGTATTATACGGTAAAGACGCTGTAGTAAATTTCACTAAGCGCAAGTTAATATGATCAGGCATGAGCATTTCAAGAGCCCAATTCTATATAACCTGTACATCACATGTGCTCCTATATTTATTTCCTTTTAGTTTTTCCTATGATATATTACAATAAATGGTATGTAAACTGAATTAATTGCAAAATATAAACTTGCACCTATGTTGATTCCAATGCAAATATATAAATTCAACTCATAGTGTATAAGAATGAGTATTGCCATAATAATAGTCATTGTAAAAACTCGTTTTGTATAAACATGTGCCGTAATAATTACTAATGATGGTATTATAAAAAAAATGGCAGACGTTTAAAATACTAAAAATAGTATAAAGATTTACGCATCTATAATGTACATTGTAAAGTATTATACACTTTTGATTGCTTTTACAAATTCCCGTGATTTTTAATCTACAAATGTACATGTTTAATTTGGAGTATAAATTCGTTCATTATTAAAGAGACATGACTTTGCATTTGCATTACTGTAATGTATTGACTCACTATTGGTCAGCTTGTATCAGTCAGTAGCTGATGAGCCCCGCCTAAATTCACCTGGCATCACATCACCTCTTTGCAGTATCATCAGTAAATAGATTTATAAACCAACAGCTGCATTACATGTTTAATCTATCTACCCATGCTGCCCAACAGCTATAATATAGCAGACGTTACAGTTACAATTTCAGGCAATACAACACAATATGTGTACTTAATTAATGAACTTGTTATTTGGGGGACATTTTGGATGCATACAACTATACTGAGCAATATGAAATTTTATTGTCACTTCTAATAATGAAGATAAATTTTATTTTGTAATTATATGTCTTAAGCATAAATGGATCGCGAAACGTTTTATTGACGATTATAAGCGAACACGCATGTTCAGATACATGAATATATGTGTAAGTTAAAAACATAGATGTTTTAAACAAATTAACTTGTTATCTAAATTGTACTTTAAAATAAGATCCAACGAAATGCTATTTATATATGTGTATAGTTGTAATATCTTCATCAAGAAAAATTAAATATATCACTTGTGGAAATATAGTGATGTCAGATTAACAATAACAATAGGAATTTATCTCGTGACTCATATCATTTTTGTGATACACATAAATATTGTTATTTACAATCTTACAATCTCTAGAATATATAATTTAATTGATTTAACTTATTCATATGTATTGCATTTATTTCAGCCTAATATGATAAATTAATTTTTTACGAAATCAAGAGTAAATAGAGAAAATAAGAAAGCACGAAACGGCAAAATTGAAAATGTTGCAGGCTCAGTTTGATTGTCAAGTGTAACCTACCGTCCACACACCCCCTAGCACCGGCTAGCTTTAACATTTAAATGTGAAATTGTAAAATTTTGAATTTAGAAACAGATGTGTTCATACTGCGGTTATCATGGAACATTCAATATAACACTTTCGTGCCATTCCGTGAAAAGCGGAGAATGATCCATAAGTTAAAGAAAGCTTATGCCCTTAAAGAGAAAACAATAGACTGAACTAAACAAAATTGAATTTTTGAAAGGGGACTAGAGGTTACGAAAACTGCATATCACAAATATCAAATTTATATATAATTTGGTTTATTTCAAGCGGATTATACAAAGGATGAAAAAAAAAATCTTGCTATTTTAAAAATTTCAGAATCTAATCTAATCACGACCAGAGGCCGTCGGAGATCGTCGATTCTTACGGAGACCGTCGATTAGTAGGGCTCAAGGTTTTCGCAACTTCCTTTTCCGGTTTGTACACTAATATGAACCATGGTAAACAAACTTACTCTTATAAATCGCTTGAATTATATGTTAATCTTCATCAATTTCCCACTATTATCTGGTGAAATTTGAATACAAGTTCACTGAGTTGCTTATTTCATTCAAATTTTTCAATGGCAATGCTATTTTGAACGATTAAATGAAGCTGTTTCATCTTGCTACAATATTACTTTTTACTGTAATTTCCACGATATCTATAGTTTCAGTTTCACAGTTTTAGTTACTGATTTTAGTCATTTGCCTAGTTGTATAGTTTGCAAGTACTGATGTCTGGTGTGAACAAGTTTGTAGGTTGATATTGCTTGAAAACCGAAAATTCATTAATCGACGTTTCTCCAGGGTGGTTGACATTTCATTTACATTTGAAGGCGGTTTACTGTACGTAACGTCACATAAAAGTTTCACTCAAGATGAGTTAAACATCTTAGAAAACTAATTTACACTTCATTCCATAGTCCATATTCTTCCATATTTCAAATCAGCACTGATCATGTCAATGATTTGCTGAATTTGGCTAAACTGGTCGGGGACAGGGACAGTCAACAGAGCAGTCTTTTTGAACATTTTCCATTCAGATTTCATAATTTAAAGCTAGCGATTTTTCTACATCATACTGCTTTAAAATCGTTTTCGATCACTCTAAGCAGATATACATTGTATACATTTAAGAGACAGCTATAAGATACAAGGGAATCCGGGAACCAGTCCCTAGCTCTTAATGAATAGACCCCTTGGTTCTTTAACATGCCCAGTGTATAGCACTGATACATGCGAGGATTACCTGGATTTCATACCAGTACACCTCTAGGTAGGTGGGAAACACTGAAAGTGTTTCTGAAAAATCCCAAGGGTGTAACCCAGGATCGAACCCAGGACCTCAGGTGTGATAATCAGTGGTTTAACCAACTGAGCTATCCCACCACCTATATTGAAAATTTTGGCACAGTATAGCTGGGTTATTTCCCTAACTAACAAACTAGTTTATTTAGTTCTGATTATGTTGGCACTTGATTTATATCTGACTCTAATGCCTGTCAAGAAAGGTATCAAAATTACATAAATTGCAGGATTTTTTTTGGCTTATTTTTTTAGCCGATATTTGGTGATATTCCCAATTGGAAATGGTATATTATTTTCCCAATCCACGGGAAAAAATTCCAAGTTGAATGTTAACAAAATAAAAATATTGAATAACAAATTCTAAAATGTTTGAAGATGCCATCCTAGACAGTGATTCTTTGCATTCATTTAATCAACGCAAAATTCAAGTCATACATTTTTCCCAATCTTTAACAAAACTTTGTTGAAAATCCCAACTCAATGGGTATGGGTCATGTTCCAAAAATCCTGGGGGAAAAAACAACCTGAATTGTCCACACTACAGTGCTATGTATCTGGATAGATATCATATGTAATTGATGATGATTTAATTCAAATAAAAGCTTGGGTGTTTAAGTTTATTTTTTAACACGATATCCAATATTTTGCAGCAATTGCTATACTTTGGGATATTCTATATTGTTTATGCTGCAAATAAGTATAGCCAGTATAAAAAGTCTTGTATAGCACTCTGGATGTCCCAATTTTCAGTGTCAACGTTCTTGAAATAGACATTAAAATATTATTGTTTACATAAATTGAAGTAAATTTAATTAATTATTTGTAGAAGAAATATGTAATTATTGTTGATTGAAAAGTGACAGATTGTTGATAAACATTAAACAAAGAAAGAAAAACTAAATCAGGCATTTTCATGGCCGTCAGGGTTAGGTGGTTGTCCCGTTTTGGTGGTTCCCAACCAGCAGGGCTTTTTTTCACAGGTTGGGGAAGCAGCCCAGCCCTTAATTTTGGGGAAAAATTACATGGTATATTTGCAAAAGGGGAAGAAAAAACTTGATGTAAATTCAATTTTTGGGGAAAACTGCATGATTTTAAAGAAATTTTCTTTGGGGAAGCAGCCCTTTACCGGCCCCTGTTATAGAAGGTAAAAAGGCCCTGCCCAGTACTGTACAGTACACCAGTTGGGGAAAAAAAATTAATCAATGAAATTTTAAAATGCAGATGAAATGCATATAATGATATGTTTGATCTCTATAAATTTCAGAGTGACAACACAGCAACAATTCGCACCAGGAAGTTCATGACCAATCGTCTGTTATGTCGGAAGCAGATGGTAAGAGGAATTAAGAATTTGTTCTTTTTAGACACTCACCTGGCACTGTGTTCCAGAATGAGCTTTTACATTTAGATTTGTATGCAGTATGTCTGTTCATATTTTTTCTTACATCATCTCTGATACCACTGGGACAATGTTAGTAAAACTTGTTATGTTAATGCCCAGTTGTAAGAATAGAGGCATTATTATTTAAGCAAAATTTTTATTAGTTATATCCCTTTTAAACTTTAATAGTGAATTCAGGGCCCTCAGTCTACCAATCTGCGATCAATATTCAGCCGCAGTCCCCCCAAAAAATGTACTGGGATCCTACATATTATCGGACAAAATATGAAGTGTTTTATCTGTAACTTTTATTTAAAATAATAAAAAAGAATGGAATTTTACCCAAATAATTTTGGGTTCTTAATGCACGTAAACATTCTTTTATCAAACATGAAATTTAACATTTGACTGTAGAAATGTGTCTTTAAAGTAGGCCATTATAAGAGGAAAAAAATCGTGCAAACAACTTAATTTACCGGACATTGTGTTTCAAACATTTTTGAAGTCGTGAATTAAAATTAATCTTTAATCAGCAAGGAAACTATGACTATTAAATGGCAAGGTTTAGATATTTGAAAAACCCAGTATGTCACTAGAAATAGACATGGCAGCCATGTCTGTTATGAAGAGGCCAATATATGGTGCAGGGACTGCGTTCAGGGCGAAGTCGGGTGAAAACTTCACTGTAAATATTTTCACCTCGCCCAATATGATCTGAAAAGCGAAATTCTAGTCGCCCTAAAATCTCAATGAAAAGTCTGACATGTATATTCTCCACTCGATAATACTGCCTAGAGGCAGATTTAATTGTGTAATCTGACGTAATTAGCACACGCGCTGAAGCGTGGCCATAGCGACATTTGGAATTCACACTTGGAAATCCACATCGCTCAAAATAGTGCATTATACGGTACATTAAAGCTGTGAAAGACCCTGATATGAATGCAGCAGATGATAAAAAGCTAGCTAATTGATTATTAAGTTACCTCAAACAATATCCCCTGTACGTTTTGTTTGATTTACAATCCCTTTATGTCCTTTTTGATTTACAATTTCCCCTATATGTCGTGTTTGATTTACAATATCCCCTATATGTCCGGTTTGATTTACAATTTCCCCTATATGTCCTGTTTGATTTACAATATCCCATATACGTTTGCCGTCCATTCTTGTTATCACCATTACATTTATGATAGTAGATCTAATATTCATCATTAAAACTGATGTAAATTGATAGAATTTGGATAATTATTAGGGCTGTGGCGAGTATCCGAGTACTCGGATATTCACGAATCCAGACAGAAAATCGAGTACGAATATTTGTCATAGGCGAAATCGCTGGATCGCGATCTTTCTTAAGATATGTAGTAAACTAAAACTTTAACTGGAACTTTGATGAAAAATGATCTTACACCAGAAAGAAAACTATGCATAAATATAAAATTCCAGGAGGTAAACAACTGACAGTTTGTAAAGCTAGAAATACAAGATATTCAAATGTCAAACGTAAACGGAATAGAGTTAAAAAGAGTTTCTTTATTACTTTATAATGACAACACAAAGATGTATTTATATTGAAAACGTTAAGTTGTTAACCTTGATTAATAAAACTGCATTAATATCTAAACTCTTGAGTTATAGATTGAGTATATCAACCCCAGAGATCTGCCAAGAATTTGAAAGTACTGGGCCCTGGGCCCACTTGGTCTGAAAATGATGGGCCATTTTTACCAAAGTATGGGCCTTGGGAAAATAAGTAAACATTGACCAAAATAACTGTTAAAAAGTTTGTAGATAATTGAATTTCCCTGGTAATAAATCTTAAATCATATTTTATGACAAGTGGTTCACTTATAATTCAGTACTTTACCAATAATTAAAAATTATGCCTACATGGTAACTTTCTAACTAATATTAATTGCAGGCAAAATGAAAATATTTTTTTAATGGCTGCTCAAAAATTTGATATGCAAATTTATTCACATAATTGCTGGTTCTTACTTGTAATGTTTTATATTGTGCATTATCCATTTAATTGTTCCTACTTTGCACCAAATGTCCCTTACCACTGTATATTGACGAATTTTATTGCCTCTTGTATGCCTCTGTGTAGACAGCATACATCAAAGACATTTGCCGACAGACCTTTTGATCATGAAAAAAGTCATGCACAATGTTTCTCTGATTGGTTAATCACCCTGTCAAACATTCTGATGACGAAATATACATCTTTTTTTACACTTCATCAGCCAAAACTTGCGTGAACTTGAGTGACCTTAGGGTTGATCAAGTTGAATACCTGTCAGATTATACTGTAACTTACAGCATTTCTTAAAATAGCAACACTTTTTTTTCAGTTACCGATAATCATTTTAAATATTAAGTAGTTGTATAATTTGTTTGTTTGTTTTATTGGATTAAATTTACGGTAGTAGAAATGAGTATCTGTGTGGGAAAGGGATTATGAGAAGAAATGCGGTAAGTAGATAACATGGACAAAAGCTATAGGGGAATGGATAAACTAAAGAATATGCGTAATTACAGGAGCATGGGTAACATGTTGCTGTTGGTACCAGTTTTGACTGGATGACTAAATAACCCAGCAGACAGTTTTGTTTCTTATAAGTCTGGCACAGATTTTTGATGCGCCCATGGCCCTTTGCTGCCGATTTTCCTGCGCCATTCTCATTTTTTTAGCGCCAATGGCGCAAAATCGCGTCCTCGGCAGATCTCTGTCAACCCTTTTGTTAATAAACATGATTCGTGGTTCGATTTGTGAATCGTCACGCATGAATCGTGGATTGAATCGGATCGCCACTTGTCCAACGATCTGCAGCCCTAATAATTATTATGAATTAAAGAACTTCTCTTCTTAATTAATTGCATTTAAAAGTTAAGAGTCAGAAACTGTTGAACCTAGAAAAAAAATTAAAAAATGTTGTGTTGATGCAGGGCTCTCGTTAGCATTTTGAGACTGGGGCCGGGGAATTTTGCATGATTTTCAAGTATTTTTCATTGAAGACGGATTTTTTTTTCGGTAAGACTTGAAATTGTGCGACATGTTGGAATGCTAAAAACTGTCCAGAACGTTTTATTTATATATCCATACTAATTTCCGGTTGCCGTTCGCTGAATATATATTCGCCGATCGGCGTTTTCTATGCCCGTTAAATATTAGTTTCAAGGGATTTAAAGGTTGTTTTTTTTTAGGTTTTAGGGGGGGGGGGGCACATTTTTGGTGGGGGAATAGGGCCGATATTCGGCCCCAAATTTTACCAAACGAGAGCCCTGTTATGTAATGTTGTGTTGATGTGAATCAAATGTTTACAATCAACTATTACTTCATTAAATATTATCATAGCGATTTCCAAATACACATTTGTTTATTTTAATGCTGCTTTTGACAATTAAAATTGATCCGTTTCACAGCATTTTTGTCAGCGGAATATAATATGTCTGCTCTGTTGCACATGGTTTGATATTGCACTGGGAAGACTTTCCTCCTGATGTTTCACAATAGCAAATTGTATAAAAAAACAACAATGAATTTAAGTGGATAGTTAATTGATATTTAGCCAAAAGGGAAATTAAAATAATTCACCAATCCACTGAAATTCCCCCTGCTGAGGGTAGTGACCTACTTCCTGCAAATTGGATTGAGGGCCCTGTTGAAAATAATTGTTATTGATAGTTGTTGCCCTTAACAGACAAGCATTTACACGGTATGCAGTTCTCTTTATCTTAATGTTTCAGGTTGTTGATTGTCTCCATCCCGGCAAAGCCACATTAGCTAAGACAGAGGTGCGAGAAAAGCTGGCACGCATGTACAAGACCACACCTGATGTCATTTTCTGCTTTGGTTTTAAAACACAGTTTGGTGGAGGAAAAACATCAGGCTTTGCCCTCATATATGACAGCTTAGACTTTGCAAAAAAGTTTGAACCAAAATACAGACTTGCTCGAGTGAGTTTCATGTAGTAGATTTGAAGGGCATCTGGTATTGGTTTAGATAATCTCTATTCAGTACTGAAAAGAACAGTTGACAATGTGTATGGATTCTTCATAATGTCTGAAACCATTGTGCAGGGATTGAAAAAAATTTCAGAGCCACTTGTTCTGAAGAATGAGTGGCTTCAAATTTCTACTCGTCCTGCATGGTATGCTACTTGTCAGGATTTTCAGAAAGAATCTCGCCTATGCAATCAACCGCTAGAAATTTTAATAATTAGTTTGTTAACACAAAATTTAACGAATCAAAAATGGAAACAAAGCTTGTGATTTAGGTTATGTATTAATCACGCAAGTAATAGAGCATTGTCGGGCATCTTCCAGTCACACCCGTATCTATTTAACAATGCGTAGTGTGCATAACCTAAAACACAAACTTTGTTTCGGGTTTTCCATCTTTAAAAGTAAGTAAACAAGATTATGAGAATTCTAGCTTCCTATTACATAGGCAAATTTCCGCTTGTCTGGTATCATTTTTTACTCGTCCTGCATCGATCTCACCTCATAAATATGAGGGGATGAGTGGATATTTTCGATCCCTGCTGTGTGACATTCTCAAGTAATATTATTCCCTTTCCAAATCAGAATAGCTATGTAGTAACTGTAGTTTATAGATATTTGGGTAAATTTTGATGAAAATTCAGCACAATATATTTGTGTGAGTTGTAAAAAAGGATTTTAGTAACATTTTGAAGAATTGCTTATGTAGTTTATTGACTGCATGAGAAAAAATGAGCCGCGTCAAGACAAAACCAACGTAATGGGTTTGCGACCAGCATGGATCCAGACCAGCCTGCGCATCCGCGCAGTCTGATCAGGATCCATGCTGTTCGCTATAAGTTTTTCTACTTGCTATAGGGTTTGTAAGCGAACAGTATGATTCCTTTGTCGTGACGCGGCTCAAATGGACATACTGAAGTCATAAATTTCATTGCAAAAGAAATAACAAAATTTTTAACATTTTGCTTAATTTATGTTTAAATAAGCCTTAATTATTACAGCATGGATTAGTTGAGATTAAAAGAACAGGTAGAAAACAGAGAAAAGAAAAGAAAAACAGAGTAAAGAAAGTAAGAGGGACAAAAAAAGCAAAAGTTGGAACTGGCAAAAAGGTAACTAGAATATACATTCTAAAATTTAGCTGAATTAAAAAATTAATGCAGTGGCAGTCAAATAAAATTGTCTTTAGGAAATGTATTTTTAACAATAGTATTCATAGCTATATTATCACATATAGCAGACTTTAAAAATACACAGCTAAGGTCTTAGTCTTTATGCCATTTGCCCCTCAGCAGTTATATTCTTTCCAGAAAAGTATGCCACTATAAAACAGTTTACTACGATACATTTTGGAATATTCTGTTTCAAATTCAAAAAATGATTTTTGCAGCAGATAATTAGCTTTATACACTTTAGTATAAGTTTCCTCTCTAAGTATAAGTGGTGTGAAATAAAAAAAAAGTTCATTATTCATTGTTGAATACAATACATTGGACTCTGCCAGCCTTTTTGAATCAGCATGTTTGAGTGACACACATTTATTTGTTTTTACAGAAGTTAATTTTATCAGGTAGAATGCTACAGTATTTAGAGTGTGATTTTAAGATTTACTTTGTCCCACCCCTAAAATTTGTTTTTTCACTTCATTGCTGTAATTATTAATGTCCATCTGTCTCCACAATTACTAGATATTTTGATAGTTTAGTACAGAAAATGTTCATTTTAAATGCATATGCTCGTAACAAAAAAAAACAACAAAAGTACAGGATGACAGTATATATAATGAGATTGCCCCTTACAGGCGACATCCAAGCAAACGCTTTTCTAGGGCAAAGCATCTACATGCATTGAGGGATTTTAATGTAAATGGCACAAATTTTTACAATTTTGAGGTCCCTGTGGCCAATGTTGAAGTTAGATTAAAGATATAAATGGGTGTGTGGACAATAAGTAGTTTTGAATTGAGTGATTAATTATCACAAATTTTCACAGAGGACTTAGTCTTATTAGCATTATGTCACCAGAGATAACTTAATGTCCAAAGTAGAGTATATATGGCTATTTGATATCATGAGATGTCTCGCTTGCATGAACCTAATCAACACCATTAGGGGTAGTGTCATGCTCATGAACAAATCTCTAGGTCAAACTGTTCAACAGTGTTACACACAAATTAAAGTCCTTTCGGGTAAGGTCAAGGTTAGATATTTGATAAGTATAAAAATTTATATTTGTAGTCTTGAAGTAAAATATAATATGACAGATGCATAAGACAGAGTATTTTCAGCATAATATAGGTCAATATATCATGGTCAGCAAAGACATCATGAATTGTTGGGTTTTGGTGTAAATTTTCATAACATTATTGAGACACTAAACCATTTATGATGGGCATATTTTATGAAGTTAGATCAAGAACATACTTATAACTTAAACGATAAACTCATTTTCAAATGAACTATTTAATGGAGTTCAGATGGACACATTCACGATCCCCTAATTTTTTTTTTGCCTAGTGTGTGTGATATCTAACTTTAGAATGCTACTTACTAGTGAAGAATATTGAAAGATAGTGTGGCTTCATGTAATTTTCTCAGGCTCTTTACTTAATATGTACATCACTTAGTGTTTTTCATTTAGATTCAGTTACAGTTTAACACTTAATACAAAAAGTAAAATTTGTGTCTGAATATGTTTAAAAAGTTTTCTTCTTTCTTATGACACAAAACTACAAATAAAATTGAAGATAATGACAATTTTTGTCAGTAATACATTTGTACCATGAAAATTAGATGTTTTACAATTTTTATGCCCCCGGACATATAGTAATTGAACCGTCCGTCCGTCTGTCCGTACGAGGTTAACCTAGAACGGCAAGTTGGATTTTTCTTAAGTTCTACCTGTACCAATGGCTTCTAAGTTTACACACTTACTAATCAATACAAAGTACATGATCTGGGCAAGTTTCATAACTCTGGCTTTCATATTTACCAAGTTATTGCCCTTTTCAGCACTTAGAAAATGAAAAATGGTTAACCTAAAACGGCAAGTTGGAAATATCTTAAGTTCTATCTATACTAATGGCTTTATAATTTCCATACTTACTTATCAATACAAAGCACATGATATTGCCAAGTTATATAACTGTGTCATCCATATTTCCCAGTTATTTCCCTTTTTTCACTTTGAAAATAGGGCCTTGTCTGGTTAACCTATTTCGGCAAGTTGGATTTATCTTAAATTTCTCCTAATTGCTTAATTTCTTTACTGATATCTTTCATATTTAGTAGGTGGATAACTTTGATGGTCCTCAAATTTTTTTTTGGAGTAAGCGGTCTCTAGGGTCAAGGTCAAGGTCACTGGTTTAAAAAATAAATATAAACCTTTTTGCTCATACAGCCTTTATTTTTTAGTTGATGTCTTAGTTTAATACAAACACCTCCTTCTTTGGGTGTAGTATGGGGTCATTTGGGTCAAGGTCAATGTTACCAATGTCAAGGTCACCAATGTTAAAAATAGATTTTTACAGGTGTATTGACCTTATTCTATAGACAGATGTTATTTATAATTGATATAAACATAAACTTTGATTGAGTTAGTGGTCAGTTGGGTCAAGGTCACCAGTGCTAAAAATAGATTTTTACACATTTGCTCATACAGCCTTTATTAAGTGACAGATATATTTTATATTTGGTAGGAAGATAACTTGCATGGTATTCATCCTTTTGATTGGGGTAGGGATCAGTGGGTCAAGGTCACTTGTGCTAAAAATAGATTTTTACACTTGCCCATACAGCTTTTATTTATTAACAGTTGTATTTCATATTTGGTAGGAAGATAACTTGCATGGTATTCTGTCTTTGGATGGAGTAAGGGGTCAGTTGGGTCAAGGTCACAAGTGCTAAAAATAGATTTTTACACTTTTGCCCATACAGCCTTTATTTATTGACAGATGTATTTCATATTTGGTAGGAAGATAACTTACATGGTATTCTTCTTTTGGATAGAGTTAGGGGTCAGTTTGGTCAAGGTCACCAGTGCTCAAAATAGATTTTTACACTTTTGCCCATACAACCTTTATTTAATGACAGATGTATTTCATATTTGGTAGGAAGATAACTTGCATGAAGTTGAATATTTTTCAACTTCACAAGTCAGAGCAATGACTTGGCAACTTATATTTTTCATAATTACAAAATGCCATGACTTTGTCAAGCTATAAAACTTGTGTTTACAATTTTTGATGATTTTTCTGTCCATAACTGAGTGAATGGGTAAACATTTTATGAAGTATTGTTACTGACAAGAATCTGAGCCGGGGGCATTTGTGTTTAACAAACACGTTCTTGTTCTCAACTTAAATTTACATTACATAATTAAATTTTTGAGACAAAATTTAGAAATAATAAGAAATTCCACCTTTTCTAACTTTACAAAATTGCATCAGATACATTAATTGATAGGCTTTAGAATATGTAGAGACAAACTTTATTTCAGGGCGTCCATGCCAATATGTAGGATAATCATTTCTTAAAAGTTGAATTAATTAAGTAAAGCTTTTTAGGGTAAAAATATATTAGATGTCTTTTATAGATATATTTTTTAAAATGTTTACTCTCATCATTCTATATTATAAGTGATAGTGCTATGTTATTGGCCACAGCCTTAAATTAAAGTACATGCTATAGAGTATTAATATCTCCAAGTGAAGTTTAATATTTCTGCTTTAACTTAACATTGAAACTGGCTTTGCTTTATCTTCACTTGGATTGATAGATCATGAGCACATATTGTTTAAGGCATCAAGAGGCCATATTGTTTTTGGTCTGTATATCACAAAATGTATAACTTGACCAAACATAAAAGTCCCTGCGCTACAGTCTCCAAACTTCATGCACCTTTATGAGCTCTTACATGGATGCAAGTTTTCAGGCATGAAGGTCAGGTTTTGTTACAAATTTCATCATGTTTTACTATTAGATTATGAAGGAAAATGATTATGAATTACAGTTTTAAGGTTTTTCCAAATTTTCAACTTGCACCCATGCTTAACTGACATAACCACTTTTAGGTCAAATGGTCAAGGGCTCCTAAAGGGTATTGCTTCCTTTCAAATATAGTGTTTGTAAAAAAGAAGGGAAATTGACGTTATTTTCAGATTGTTCAGAACTTTAATAAAGAAGTTCAAAGTAGGATGCAATTTTCCTTCAGAACTTTAATAAAGAAGTTCAAAGTAGGATGCAGTTTTCTACCTTATATCAAGGACAATTATAGCTCACCATACCTTAAGTTTTAAATGAAGGCTGGATGCTCAGTTGTCTAGCTTCAATTTTGACCTTGCTTTTTGCTGTAGAATGTTATAAGGTTTTTTGTTTATTTTTATTTTGTGATAAACATTGATAAAACCTGTTTCTTTTAAAGCGGTGTCAATAAATGCACCTCCTGAATGTTGAGAAATAAATGCTATTTTTGTTTTCTATTTCAGTAAACATCAAGAATGTGGGCATGCTGACATGGACATCTTTGTGTTTTACATGTACATATTCGTGTCATAAAGAGAAAAATCTTACTTCTGTTGTACTATTTTTTAATTGTGATCATACAACCATTTCGATTGTTCTTCAAAAGCAAAGTTTTGAGTGTTGCATTGTGGGTCCTTTTTATATGCCCAAAGACCTTCATGACATTTGGTATGGCATTGTCTGCCCTTCTGTAGATAATTGGACTCTGCATGGTTAATAATTTGTTACCCCCTGTCAAAGACAGAGGGATAAAGATTATTTTAGATATTGTCTGCCCAGCTGTTTATCCATCTGTCGAGGAATTAAAACACGGGGGAGGAAGTGTTACACGAAGGATGGAGTTCTTATGATAACTGTCACGAAGTTCCTGAAAAACGTTACGGATTTCTGTGGAAAACTTTTTTATTTACTTGGAGAACTCACGTGAAAAATGGTCATTTTTACCTTTAAATGGGGAGTTTGAGGTGCTAAATTAAACTTTGATAATTAAGCTTGCCCTACATATTGTATAATGTTTCGCCTTTTTATAAAAAAACATTTAGTAGTTAAGTAAAATTTCCAAATTACTTGCTCATTCGTACATATTGACCTTTTCATTTGTGATCTTCTTCGTTGCTATACATAATTATAATGCAGGGTTGCAAACGTAAAGCCCAGGATAATCAATTTATACCCGATTTTTCAAATGTCGCGGAGTTCTTGTGATAACTCAAAATATGTCCTGGAGTTCTTATGATAACTTTTGTTACTGCCAGTGTGTTTCTTGTGCTAAATTACGGCCCGTTTAAGCGTATTTTATTAGTCAATAAGTGTGTAAATCATTATGAAGCATTATGACCATTTTTCACGTGAGTTCTCCAAGTAAATAGAAAAGTTTTCCACAGAAATCCGTAACGTTTTCCAGGAACTCCGTGACGGTTATCATAAGAACTCCAAACAAGTTATCATAAGAACTCCATCCTTCGTGTAACACTTCCTCCCCCGTGTAAAAAGAGCACAAAACTTAACAATTTTAGTTTGGAATTTAAAACTTTGTATGTGATTAATCTCATTCAGAAGTGCTGTGCTTAAGAATGGTAACTCTTTTTGCAAAATTTTGGAGTTACAGACTTACTGCCCTTTGCAATTTTTTCCAAACTTACTTTTGTATTGTCATAACTAGATAAGTATTGACTTGAAAATTTATAGACTGATCTCATTTAGGGCAATGTATTGGAACAAATTTCTCTTTTTCCATAATTTTTTAGTTCTTTCTGTGTAATTTTACTCCAGGTTATCACTGGGTAAAGTAATGGAGATATGAGTTTGATTTTTCACAGCTCTCGTCTCGTCAATAATTTTTCTCCAGCTGATGAGTAAAGTGAAATTTCATAGCTGCCATCAACGATGAGCACACTGTTTTAGAATATCAGTTTTGAGTTATTTTGCTCTTTAATTTTTATCAGCCACAAAAGTCAAGGAAATATATAGTGATTGAACTGTCCGCCTATACAAGGTTAACTTAAAATGGCAAGTTGGAATTCTTAAGTTCTACCTGTACCAATGGCTTCATAATGTACACACTAATCAATGCAAAGTACATGATCTTGGCAATTTACATAACTGGCTTCCATTTTTACCAAGTTATTTCTCCTTCCGTCCGACATTTTTGTTCGGAGCATATCTCTAAAAGTATTTGAGTTATCAACTTGAAACTTCATAGGTGGATAGACCTCATTGAGGAGGAGTGCAGTGCACAAGAATGATAACTCTACCTTTTAAATTTTTGAGTTATTGCCCTTTGTTATTTTTCAAAATTGATTTTTGTCCAGAGCATAACTCCAAAAGCCTATGAGATATCAACATGAAACTTCATAGGTGCATAGATCTCACTCAGGAGGTGTGCAGTGCACAAGAATGATAACTCTACCTTTCATAATTTTTGAGTTATTACCCTTTGTTATTTTTCATACCTAATTTTTCACCCGAGTGGAGCATAACTCAAAAGTGTTTGAGATGTCAACATGAAATGTCATAGGTGGATAGATTTTATTGAGGAGGAATGCTGTGCACAAGAATGATAACTCTTCCCTGTACAATTATTGAGTTATTGCCCTTTGTTCTTTTTCATACCTAATTTTGTCCGGAGCTTATCTCAAAAAGTATTTGAGGTATCAACTTGAAACTTCATAGGTGGATAAATCTCATTGAGGAGGAGTGCATTGCACAAGAATGATAACTCTACCCTGCATTATTTTTGAGTTATTGCCCTTTGTTATTTTTCATACTTAATTTTTCAATTCATTTTTTTTCTCAAAAAGTATTTGAGGTATCAACTTGAAACTTCATAGGTGGATAGATTTTACTGAGGAGGGATGCAGCACACAAGAATGATAACCTACCCTGCATTATTTTTCAGTTATTGCCCTTTGTTATTTTCAGCCATCAGTATTCACATAGGTTTCAAATCTGTAATCACTATAGCCATCAGTTTTCATTACCAAAAGACCTCTTAAAATGGAATTATTCTGCTCTACTACATATACATTCTTCCAATGAGCAAACATTCGGCGGGGGATGGCCATGTTGACATGGCTCTTGTCAACACTTTGAAATTGAATATGGTTAATCTAAACTGGCAAGTTGGATATACATGTATCTATCTATACACTAATGGCTTTATAGCTTCCACATTTATCAATGCAAAGTACATGATGTTGCTAAGTTATATAACTGTACCGTCCGTTTTCCCAGTTATTTCCCTTTTTATACGCCAATTTCGGCGTATATTGTCAGAGCTGCATTACTGGTACTGGTACTGGTACTGCAGTACGTACTGCAGCGATTTTGCAAGTACTGGTACTGATACTGAATTACTCTTACAAAATTTTGCTACTACTGGTACTGGTACTGCATTACTGTCTTAAAAAGTGGTACTGCTACTGCATTACCCAGTACTTTTGGTTTTGATAAAAATTAAAAATAACATCAATTTTTGTCATATAATAAAGCTGTAAATTACATTAACTATATTTTATTTTTGTGAAAAAGTAAGTTATCAAATCTAAAGATAATTTGCTGCAATATTCCTTCCAAATGTTAACATACGAGTATTCATCATAAAAAGCACCAAAGACTTTAAGTAAAAGTTAAATTACGATAGACAGACTCAATAAATCTTTACCCTAAAATATCCTTATTAAATCTTTTATTACTTTGTATTTACTAGTAAAAGAGCAAAATAAACACTATTAATTAATTTCTTCTATTCTAAAAAATCCCATTTCAAGTGAAAAAAGTGATATTGTTTATTATAAGCACCATAAAAAGTTGTTATTTACTTTGGTTTAAATTGAACAGAGGTGTGAAGGTGTGAAAGGCAACAGAAGACTGTTGTGTTTTAAATAAAAGATGTTTGCATTGTATTTATACAGTTGACTGGTTACAAAACAGTTAGATATGACATGAATTTATGTTGTAAATATTGTTTGTAAAAAGTATGTTAAAACTATAAAGTTGTAAATATGTTATGTTTACTTTAAAGCAGCACGCCTCCAGAGTCCAGATTCATCCGAATTTTCATGATAATTTTGAAAAAGTATTTAAAGGTAAAATATTGTTAAATGAACAAAGATAGTACTTGACACATTACAATCGGCACTTAAAATCCACGTTAATTACCAAAAAGAGGTCAAATTAATCATGCATAAATAGCCCCTACTCCGTTAGTAACGCAGTAGAAATATGGTGATAAATACTACAAAATACAGTCATTAATTGCACATAAGATATAAATCTTTAATTTGTTTACTTTTGTCAAAGTTTTAGTAATTTTTTTCCAAGTTTAATTTTCTTGAAATATTTTGGGTCATCTGGAGGCATGCAGCTTTAAAGTAAATTATGATTTTATTTCTTTGCTGAATAATATTTGCAATTATTTGTTTGACACTGTATTTATTCAAACTTTGATGAATATATAAAAGTAATGGTACTGATACTTAATTACTTCACCAAAAAAAGTACTGGTACTGCAGTACCGAGCTAAAATCTAGTACTGGTACTGGTAATGGTACTGCATAATTTGCCAAGTACTGGTACTGGTACTTAAGTACTACACCCTTAGTACTGATGCAGCTCTGTATATTGTGCACCTGGTTGTCCGTCTGTCAGTTAGCAGGTATTTGTGTCCTGTCTGTATCTTTTGAACCGGTGGAAGGAAATTGAAACTACTTGCCAGAAATGTTAACCATAAATATATTCGTTAGAGCTTGCAGCAAGGTAAAGGATTTTAAGAAGCGAATTATTTTCATTAACGGTAAGCTACTCAAACAGGGCTACCGCTATTATAAATTACGTAAATATTTTACAATCGTAACATTGATTTAATTTCAAAATTCAATAGTAATCTAAAAACACGTCTGCGACAAGGAAAAAGCCGGCTTGATTTTTACGGGGATATTGTATACAAACTTCCTAAGATTTTGGGTCTTAGTAATTTTTCTGTTTTCTTTACTAAAATTAATAAACGTTTTATCAAAAGGGGTTATGAACTTATGACCCTACTATTTTAAGACATACCGCATGCTTAGTACGCTTTCCTCTTTTGATTACATCTGACGGACCAAGTTGGAGACTGATGGACAGTTCATAAAGCCCTTTGGGACTGAATTGTCTTAATGTTCGTCTTCTGTCTTGCTTCGTCGAGTCCTTGTAGGTGATCTTCTTGTTGCTGTGTCTTCCTTTAAGACATTGAGTACTTTTGTTATGGTCATTGGGTTTTCTTTTGTATGTTTCTACATGAGCATTTTGGTCTTTTACTTATTCCCATGACAACTGTTACAATTTCACTCGGCGGGGATTCATTTTATTTACACTGTCTCGTTTATAGGAACATGGTGGGGCTAAGAGTGCATAAGGTTTGATGCACCATTAAACGGTTTAAACTCCCCAGCAGTACCTATGCTACTGACCGTTCCAAGGCGGCGCCCCTCTTGTGTTCATCAGATGTATGTCTTTGTTGTTTTATACTGTTTTGTGTCCCTTGTTTTCTCGTCTACGGTAAGTATCTTTCCCTTTGCCCCTAATTTTTATTTCTTTTATTTGCCCCCCCCCCTTCCCCGGGTCTCCTGTCCCCTTCCCCTGTGCCCTTTGACTTTATGGACCTATTATTCAATCATTTATTTGTTTTCTTTGAGTTCCTTATCAGTTACTAATTATTTCGTCTGATGTGTTATTTTAGTGATGATCCTGCCCATGCTCTGCCTTGTGCCCTGTCCTGTTTTTGTTTGGGATCCTCCTGGGCCATTTGCCACTGGCTCTTGTTGCTGGATCGTGTGGGGGTTGCGTTCATTGAACGCCGCTTTTCTTTGTTGATCTTGTTTATCATATTTTAAGTTTCCTTTGAAAAGTAAACGCTGAATTTACAGCAACTATATTGTTCTTGTGAACATATGAATATATAGGCATTATTTCTTCGCATAATAAACATGCATAGACAACGTTACTTATATTAAGTTAGTATGCGGTGGGTTGGTGTGTAAATAATAAATGCAAAAATGTTTTTTTTTCTTTTTTCTCAGATACACATGTTTTAAGCATCCGCCTTTTTAAGCAGGGCTTTTCTCAAGCAGCAGTTCATTAATTTATGTTTTATACCATAATAAACAAGTATATAACCAGGATAACATTCACACCTATGCACCCAGATGTACATGAAAAATAATTCAACCACGGTTGGCTCTCGCTATCGTTCTCTTCAACAAAATTTGCACGTGCCCTACGGGTTCGAGCCTTTATAGTGTTGTTATCAATTACAGCAAAAATAGGAGAGTTTATATAGGGGCAATGCCCATCAAACATGACAGAAGAATTTAGTTTTTACCGTAAAAATTGGCAACGTACATGGTACATGTATTACTTTAGTACATCTGGATGCAAATCATGCTCATTCAATTTAAAGTACATTAATTCTTAAGATATGACAAGAAAAATGTATGCAATAATCTTCCGCAATATCAACGGCATGAACCTTATGGTGACTCACATCTATTATTAAAGACTTGCTTTGTATTGTCATATCGTTGTCATAGATTCTTTACGTTTGTATGGCAAAAATTGATACCTTTAAGAAATCAAAATATCCGTTGAATACATGAGAATGACCCCGCCTCATTAAATTTAGATTAAGGTAGAGAGTGTTTTTGCTGCAAACCATTTACATGTAATTTGTTTCGGTAGACCGATACCATAGGTACTTTATTAATGTTCTCTAAAACTGCCAGGAATAATGTATAGATGAAGACTAAACGTATTTTATCCTGTAAGTCAATGCTTTACATGCATAAAGCCTTTTTTTTCAGCCTAAAAATTTGCGTAAGCAAAACAATCTATAAAATGAAAAAAAAAAAACAAAAAAAAACAAGAAACGGAGGTAAGAAATACACACCAAAAACCAACATTATATAACCAATTTTTGTGCTAAGGATGACAATTACGCTTCAAAATGATTTATACACTTATTGACTAATAAAATGCGCTAAAACTCGCCGTAACTTAACCCATTACTTCATGAGCATTTTGTGAAAAATGGCTGTTTTCATTGAAAAGTCTCTCGTTACAAGTTCAAATTGCTATAATACTATAAAAACTGCTTCAACACTAATCAAACTTGGCACAAATGTTGACTGGACCATTGCCCTTGCAACAACATGCTCAGGCTTAAATTTCCTGTTACCACATGGCAATGAGGGGACATCTCAAAATTGCAAAAAAATCACTGGAACTTCTCAATGGATTGAGATAGAGTCAAATGCTTTTCATCGTTGGTTACACGTTACCATATGATCGATCATGGGTCATTTTTAGCCTCTCACAAGTCAAAAATTTTCTTGGCGAATATTGGGGCTGCCGCCTTCAATCCCCCCCCCCCCCAACAAAGGGGGGGGGGGGTGAAAAAGGCGTTTAAAGACGTGTGTATCGGGTAATGGGTTAACACAAGAAGCACATCTGCAGTAACAAAAGTTATCATAAGAACTCAGTGACATTTGATAACTTTGGTATAAATGTAATTATTAACCTGGGCTTTACAACTTTCCATTATGTACGAATGAGCATGCGCAAGCACTTTGGAAATTTTACTTAAAACTACCAGATTTTAAACAAGAGGCGATGCAAAATGGAAAAGTTTTTTCCGACACATAATTCAACATACAAGGCTTAATTTAGCACCTCAAACTCCCCATTTAAAGATTGAATAAATATCATTTTCACGTGTTTTTCTCCAGTATTAAATAAAGTTTTCCGACAAATCCGTAACGTTTTCCAGGAACTCCGTGACAGTTATCATAAGAATTCCTGACAAGTTATCATGAGGACCTAGCTCATTCCTCGTGTAAAAGTTCCTTCCCCGTGATATTATATATTGAACTATTTTTAAAAGTAAAAACGTCTAAATATTAATCACAATATGGAAAGTATGATTTTAAGAAGCAGCTTGCAATCTTTAAACATATTTTTATAGACACGTATAATTCTTTGAATTCGTGAAAAAATTCTGTTTCATGTGTTTGACAAGAAATTTTAATGGTTCCAATGAATGACTATAAATATAAGCCATTCTAAATATATCAAGTATAATTATATACATGATATTGTCGTAAACTTACTGTCAAGTTGAGAGCCTCGTAAATGGTTTAGTAAAAATACGCTTGTAAAATGCAAATTTACATGAAAACCTTAAAAGTTCCTGTATGTTGTGATCAAAGTGGTTTACCACACTAAGTGAAATTATATATATGTACATAATTATGCAAATAAAACAATTTTCAAACATTGAAGAATATGTAAAATATGTACTGCAAATATTTGTGCATATTATATGTAATCATTAAAATAAATGTATTCATTTCATATTTAAAATTTGACTTAAACTTTATAGAAAATAAATTTCTAATTACCTCCTTTTATTTACATGAAATGTTAAATTCGGTAATAAATTTATAAATAATGCTTTTTGGAACGTACAATATTGATAAATCCTAATTTGAGCATCATATATTTATGATTTAAAACCATAAAAAATTGTGTTTGCTTGTACAGGTACTCCTAATCTTCACAAGTTATGTTAACTATATTACTGTAGACTTATCAATTATACTATTATTACTATTATTTATTATTTCGGTCTTCATCTAGATTTCTATTTTGTCTGAATGTTAATCTCAATGATATCTCATAGGGGTTCAAAGATGGATCATCTTGAGTCAAAAACTAGGTCAAAGAAAAATCTTGTTACTTTACTATAGAAGTGAATAACAGTCTAGAGGTCACAATATTTGTATTTGTTCTTCAGGAAACTTTGTTAGAATGTTCATCCTAAAACTAGGTCACAATGTCAAATCAAGGGATAACATAAATAAATAAAGAATTTAAAAGTTATTTATTTTTTATTTAATGCCTCTATGATATATTGGTTAGGTTAGAATTTGGGTCCTCTTGGATTAAACAAATATCAATTGAAAGATAGATCAATGTCACGTACAGTTTTATTTCATACACCAAATGTATATTCATCAATCTTTTTTTGAATTTGTTACTTATTTGTAGTTTTTATAATATAACATCTTGGTAACCTTAAAAATGGGTCAAAATTATGTCCATGAAAAACATATGCAATTTTTCAATTTTTTGTAATTTGTATGTATACATTTAGATAAAGCTGAGCTATTATATATATAGTCTCAGGTAAGCAAATTAGGACCATCACTGCTCTATTGCTATGTATTTGACCTATGGGACTGCGTTCGGCGAATATTGCTCTCTTTTATTTTGTTGTTGCTAATATTTCTGTATATATATGTGAAGATATATTGCTTAAACTCAAATCGCCTATTTAGTATTTCTGTCTTGTAACTAGTCAAAGCGTGATAATGATAGATTTCATCACATTAATACAGCCCGGCAAACGTATAAATAGCCCCGAGACGTAACACTCATTTATTTAACTGAAAACTTTATCTTTATATTGTGTTAATTAAGTGTGAGAGACCTATTTTGGAGTGCGATGTGGTTCGTGTATGCATCTATCATCCTATTTACGCCGCATATTGAATGTGTTGGTCGTTGGGATGTATTTTCTACAAATACACTTTTGCAATGGGTGAACAGCTCGTTAAGGCACGAGTCAGATCGCATCGACAACAACATTAATTTTGGAGTCAGCACGACAGTGTGTAAATCCATTCATCTAAGCATGGTGGTCAAGAATGGGGCACACTATCCAAGCGAAACACAGATGCATCGGATAAAAACTCTTCATGAAAAAATTGTTAAGTTGAAAGATCCTAAAAAGTTCGTAGACCTAGATAACTGGAAGCTTCGATATGACATGAATATGGCAGGAGAACTGTCAAGTAGAGGGATAGAGGAAATAACTGAACTAGGTAACAGATTCGGTAAAATGTTCACGCCCGTTCTAAAACAGGATCCTAAAAATGAAGTTGAAATATTATCTTCTGATGATCAAAAATCAATCAATTCTTCAAAATATTTCGAGCTAGGTCTTAGTAATCAACTTATAAATATGAATATACATAACAGAGAAGTAAACAACACGGAATTAAACATTGCCAAACATTGCTATAATTTTGAAAAGCAACAACAAGATGATTCAAATTCCCTAAAACAGTTTCACCTTTTCTCCAAGACTCCAGAGTTTATGACAATAGTCAACTCAGTGAGAAGAAAATTAGGAATGAGCAGCAACCTAGCAGCAGGTTGGCATTTTTCTTTCTTGACTTTCTTTATTATTTATTCCCTAAAATATGTAGTAGCATTTACATATGTGTGAACGCGACCATTATGGTAAAAATTATTTGCAAATAAATTTTTGAAACTTATTGTATCTCATTGAAATTTAAGAATACGCATTGGCAGTGACATTTTATTATTGCCTTTTTTCTAACCTGTTATTATGTTAATTAAGTCTTGATATATTTCACTTTTTATTTTTACCAAGCTGATCTTTATTTGATAAATGAATGGTGTGCCTATGGGACATATATTTCAAACGACATGACCTGGTGTCAGCTTCTATCAG